TTTTGAGCAGAAGAGCACGGGGGCAAAGCATTTTGAAACAGAGGAGTGGCAAATCTTACCGTCCTGCATTGCTGACATGTTCTGCAGTGTGTGTGAAATTAAATGTCTCCAACCATATATAATGACCATATAACATCAGAGTCTGTAAATATGTCCTGGCCTTCTCCTGCAAGATGAACCAAAACTCCATCCTTAAATGTGTCCTTTTTTTTTAATTCAATATTTTTCACTCTTTCTTCTCTCCACCATAGGTCGAAGGTCGGTCCTCTGTTATCGAGACCTTCAAGCAGCTGGTGGCAGAGGAAGGAATCTGGGTGATGACTAAAGGGCTCTCAGCCCGCATTATATCCTCTACACCAACATCTGTACTCATCGTGGTGGGATACGAGACCCTGAAGAGACTGAGCCTACGGTCAGAGCTGATCGAGTCGAGACACTGGTGAAGGGCCCGTGCAGTCGTACCTGAGCTGACACCTCAGGGAATAAAGACAGTCTGCCCCCATTCTCAAGGTAAAAAACTGCTCGACTGGGTGACTGCTGCTGCTACAAGCCTTTTCAGATTGTATTGTTTTTATTATGCCTACATATGCCACTGGTGTTTGTCTTCAGGTGGTTGACCTCTCTGCTTTCCATTTTTTAAAAATCTTTATCTATAAATACATGGATTAAATTGACAATCCTGGAATATGACCGACTGAAAAGTCCCGCCTGCTTGTTCTGTGCTAATAAGTGCATTACAAGGGACTTTTGTAAAGCAAAGGTTTCTCAGTGGTTGAAAAGAAAATAGTAATAGATAACGACATGTGGCCAGTCTAATTGGTTTTTAACGTGCTAAATTAGACATGTTTAAATGTGTTGTTTCTGATAGAAAAAAAAGCACAAAAACATGATGTGTGTGTTAGTGCATTCCAGTCTAAATGAATGTTGTTGAATTACAACATATTCCACACAAGACAAACTTCCAAATGTTTCTTCTAAATATGCAAATAATGTGTTAAGGTTTTCTGTAAGTTGGCCCCAGTTAAGATCATGTGTGCGAAGGTAAATTCACAGATTAATTCAATCAACTTCACTGTTACCATCTGTTACATAATGGTCCAGAAAGTGGAGAAGACAGCACTAACAATAATTTGGGAATGAGGATGCACAAAACTGTTACAGACTCCAACATGATGTGAATCTAGTTTTTTACCCCCCTCATCACTAGTTCATAGTTGACATGTTAAGTGGTTGACTTCTGCTGGTGTGATTTAAGGAGAAAGGTAAAATGTTTTTTAGTTATTCAAACACAAAAATCTTGAAACTGTGCTGTCAAACAAACGTCTGATGTGTCTTATTTAACTACAATGAAGTCAACATTATGTCAAATCAATGTTACAAAAGACCAGTTAATGCTGCCGTTTAACTGTAACTGCCAAAAAACATTTTCTGGGTTGGACACCTGTAAACTATCCTGAATGTAAATATACACCTGAATGTTTGATTTGTAAACAGCCCCTTTTCAGCTTCTACAAGTGGACATGATTACAGGACTTCCTCAGGAAATTCATCAACAAAACAAATGAACCATTTTACTTGAGGAAATACAATGCCTGGATTCACCACTTACCTGCAGCAATGTGTTGGAATCATTGTGTGTTGAGCACTAATGGACATTTGGTTTGAAGTAATAAAGAATTCTAAGTCACTGTGTAATGACTTTATAAATTCGTGCATAACTGGCCTTTTTATGTCATGGCTGCACTGGTTGAGGAAGAAACTGCAATACATAAGCCGGCCACTAGATGGGACTAGGTTGGCAACTACACAACATGTACTGCAAAATCATAATTTGTGGAAAAAAAATTCAAGTTTTTTTAACTGAATAGAACAAGTGGTGGACTTTACCATAAGTGACTGAGGGCTGTTCATGATGGGTTTTTGATCCTTGAAGCACATACTGAGATCTGAGGAAGGTCTGAAAGTAGTAGGGGAACAAAAGCTACAGAAACAAAAATACAAAACAAACCCTTTTATTTGACCATATCCGGCCAGTGCAAAAGACTTCCATCCTTCCTTCTTCAGTTACGAATCTCCTCTCCAGTGTTGGAGTAAACCACTTTGAATAAATGTCCTCTAATCACATGGGGCAGTCATAGATGTGGATGGCGCGGTCGTCTCCAGCTGAGATGATCTTGGAGCCGGTACTGTTGTACTTCACACTCCATACCTGCAGAGGGCAGTGGTAGGACAGGGCATTGACAGTGAGCATGCAAACATTTAAAATAACATCGTAATGGAACTTGACTCAGAGTCAATACACTTAAGTTTTGTTAAAGATCCGAATTGCTACGACATTTCCAATCTTAGTTTTCCAGTTTTTCCTGGATAAAGCCATCAATTCCTGACATTTTTTCCAAGTTTCCACACTGAATATTAGTGGTTTTTTTAGAATTCCCTACATTAACCAATATGCACCAAGATGAGAGTACATACAACTCTCACTTCATGGTCATAGTGATGGAACGTAAGACTCTCTTATGCATCATCAAATGTCCCAGCTGATATCTGATAATTTTTTTTACAATTATCTTGTTTTTACAACAATAACAGAAACAGGAACCTGATCTTGATGATCGAAGAAAGTGTTGATACAGGCTCTGGAGCTGGCATCCCACACCTTTACACTCTTGTCAGATGAGCTGAAGGCAGAAAGAAGAGAATTCAAGTCAAGTCCATTTATGTTTTTTAACTTACAAAAAAATACCACCATAAAAACATCAAATAACATTACTACACTGTTACAAAAACCTTGACAATTGCAATACAAAGTTCAGCATAATAGTAGACAAAAACCACTTTAATTCTCGTTATTGTGATTTTCAAGCTGCTCTAAGACAAAGATGAAAAGTTGGTTTTACCTCGAGACAAAGTGTGTGTCATCTGGCGAAAAAGCAACATTTAAAACCCAGGATCCATGTCCACTCAGTGTTCCAGCCAGGTTAGCATGTTGCCTGTGGGACATTAAAAACAGATTTATTACAACAACATTTTTTTTATAACTTAATTTTTATTTATTTTACATGTTACTGATGGACAAACATGAAATTGACACAGATTTATCTCTGTGTGGATCTTATTCACATACACGTCATAGATCTTGATGTATCCGTCGTCTGAGGCCGTGACCAAGAGCTGGGAGTCGGGGGAGAAGGTGAGGGATCTGATGGGCATGGCGTGACCTAGGAGAGAAGAGAGACCAAAGTCAATGCAGTTGTATTTACAAAAATGACTGATGAACGGTGGCACCGGGAGTGGTACTTTTTTTTCACATTTATTGAAAAGAATCAGTTGCACAGGTTTATATGCACAAGTCACTGAACTGAAGTGAGGACATGTTATTTAAGGGTGAAGTTAGCTATTACACAAATATCGTGGTCACTCATTCTGAAATTTTGTTAGCATATCTGGTAATGACAAAGTCACACAAAAACATTTTTTGCTGTTGTGTTACCTTCCAGCGTGTGGAGGAGTTTTCCTGTGGCGATGTCAAAGATGTTGATGATTCCATCAATGGCACCACTGGCCAAATATTTACCATCAGGGCTCTAAAGGTAAAAATCAGATATGAATTGATGAAGCACAAAGTCATTTTTTAAAATATGACAATTTTGTCTTTGAAAAGAGAATTTCAGACAACAGGCAGTTTATGGTTCCTTACGTATGCTATACTCAGGATGAATTTTCCTCGAGTATCCAGGGAGTATTCTTTTTTGCCACTTTCCACACCAAAGATGTTGACCTTGCCAAGATGGCTTCCTGTGGCGATGTATTTAGAGTCTGGTGAGAAGGCAACTGACCAGGCATCAACTGAGGAGAAAAGCAAAAAGACACAGTAAGATATAGTCATTGTTGAGCTTGTTTTTTTTTTCTTTTCATTGTGATAAAATAGATTTCAGCCAAAAGCACATTCCTCTGTCAAGAACAAATCTTTGCCTGGTCTCTTCTCTGTACCTCGTGTTCTAAAGAGCCACACATTCCAGAGTACAGTATGTTCAATAGAAGAAAGGGCTAATCCTACTGGGTGAAGTGGAGTATCACTAATGGAAAATGACAGGGCAATTGGATGAAGAAGAACTTGGCTTAAGATTCCCAGCAACACTTATCAGGGTGAGAGAGTTCATAAAAGATGAGGCTGAAAAATGGATTTGCATATTTAGGTTTGCAGCATAAAAGACTGGGTCTGTTTTAATGTGCTTGGAAAACAGGATATGAAACTTCTCAATATAATCAATTAACCTCCCAGGAGTAAACGAAAGTGTTGTTTACTCAAAATCTGCTTCAAAATCTTAACTTAAAAAACGCAGATGTAAAATGTCAGAAAATACTGGAGCAAAGATCCAGTTAATGAGCTGAATAAATATTCTAATTTATTATCTGCAGAGCATTCTGACCCGGTCCAGCATCCATGGACTTGATCTGTTTTCCAGACTCCAGGTCCCACAGACGGATGTGAGCATCCAAGGAGCTGGAGGCAGCAATGGCTCCATTATGACTGATGTCTACTGACACCACACCCAGCTGGTGTCCCTCCAGAGTCCACTGGAGCTCCAGCTTCTCATCTGACCTGCAGTTAGAGTGGGGCACAGGGGTTAATACAGTAGAGTCAGGAATTAGTTAGGTTTCTGAAGAGCTGGGAGTCGATTAAACACATTTCTACTTTTAAGTTTAATAAAATGATAAATAACAAAGAGAAACACCAAACCCGTTGAGTTTAAGTGTGTGTGTGTGTCAGACTGTATCGTTTTTCGTTTTCAAATCACATTGGAAAGACTGTTTCGATCACAAAACAAATTCTTTGGTAATTTGATTATATTAAAAAAATCCATTAAAAAGTTGTTAAGAAAAAAAGCAGTGATACCAGCTGAAAACTTTTTATGCTTTAGCACAAATATGGGTTTCATATACATAGATATGTTGTCAAACACACCATTTCCAGACTTTCACCATGTCATCTAATGAACCTGTGACGATAGTTTCTGACCCATCCGACTCGCTTTTACCCCAAGCTGCTGTCCATATGGCATCATCGTGTGCTGAGAATAACAAACACAAGTCAGAATACAACTAGACAATTTTACAGTAAAAACAAAAGAAAAGATAAAAACAGAGTTGAAAATGTATATGCAATTTTTCTGATGCTCTTAACTACAGATTGTCATTTACTTTGTTAAATAGTTGCTCCTTTCACAGGTCATTACAGCAGATCCTCTGCCACCAACCAACTTAATGAGTCTTTTCCAAAGTTTTAACCGTTTGCTTCTACCTCACAGGGTATCTGAACGTAACTTCTATTCAAGTTTCTGCACAGTTCCAACCTTATATGGCCTGTGAAATCTAAATTTTAAGCCTATTTATCCTTCTCCTGTTTATGTAAGCCTCACATCACCGTTTGTCCATTTGACAGTGCAGAAAAGAGGGGAAGAGAAGGTCCATATTTGTGCACTGTCAGCTTTGGCAAGGTGCTCCCTAAAGTTACTCATCTTTATTTCCTATACCTCAATTTAGTTCACAAATATTTTCTGTATGTGTATTCCACCTAATACCTACCACAGATAAAAACTACTAGGTCATTTGGTTAAAAGTCTGTCTGGGAATGATCTGTCAAGCTAATCATTTAAAGGAAAAATATAAAAAATATAAAAATAAAAAGAACCATTCCAGTGAAACTACTCACCATGCTCTTGCTTGAAAAGGATGCTATACTAAAAGCAAAGACAATATATCGTTAATATATGATGTCAGGCACATGCAAAAGAAATACACCTGGTTAAACGGAGTCATTACTTACTTGAGTGCTCATTGTTTTTGCCTGAGAATACAGTTAACTTGTTTCCACCTTTAAGAAAAAAAATGTTTCGGTTTAGAAAGAACAGAGTTCGAAATTGAACAAAAACGAGTATGTCTCAGTTCTAAAAGCGAAACGCACAAGACTACAATCAAACTGACATGAAGTTGCTGCGAAAAATAGATCAAAAGTATTTTATGTTATTTTGATTGCAAAACTCCTAAATAATTTGTTAACATATAGCAGCTAGCGAGTCTACTTCTATGGTGTGGTACTAGCTGCGCTGCAGCCGGTAAACATACAATATTACCGTTTTCAGCTCAGATTAAAATAGCTATAAACAAACCAACGTTTAACATTCACGACAATGTGCTGGGTTTGGTAATAAAACACTTGCGTACCTTTAAACCATCCGAAAACGTTGTTTTTAAGTATTATTTTCCAGATGCCCGCTGAATTACATGTGAAAAGAAATAACATTCGACGTAACTTCCGGTCGTTTTCTTCTTCTCTTGTTTTAAACGTACAATTCATGCTCACTCGTGCCACCAGCAGACAATGGCGAGACGACAGAGCAACAACGTGGTATCTGATCAGTGCAAATAAAGCAAAAGTGTTTTTTGCTGCAAACATCGAATAGAAACACAAGGAAAAAAAATCCTAAGACCTAAGACATTTTCAGTAGTTGCTAAGAATTGATTGTAGAAGTGCAAATACGTATTTTTCAAAAACATAAAAAAGCAGCTAAAAAGTAAAAGAGTAACTATAATAATAATAATAATAATAATAATAATAGTTAATATAGGACTATTATGACCTGTGAACGCAATGACTTTCAGCTTTAATGTCGACACATTATGTTGACATGTTTGTCCTGTCTCAGTTATAAACAACCAATCATGTTCATCAAACGCTACTGCTGTGCAGACAACCATGTTCATCAAACGCTACTGCTGTGCACAAAGAAAATATACAGTTGAGAAAAATGACAGCTACAACCAGTCCAATATACAGTATACACCTCTGAATAGAGCACCATGACCAAAAATACATCTGCATGTACAATAACTGTAGTGGAGCTATATATCAACCCCCATACTTTTCTGTTGACAGACTTCTCTGTCTACTGCTCTACAGTCACTACCATAGTAAACTTAAACTTAACTTTATAGAAGCACACAATTGACTGCAGTGAATAACTGACTTTCATTAAAACCTCTACATGGTGCTGAGAGACAGATGAACCTGGGTCTGAAGCACCAGCAGTAAAAAAAAAACAATATTTTGACAATCGCTGCTGCAGCATTCTGGGATTCACAATTGCTGAAGTGAAGCTCCAAGGGGCAAACACTCCAGAGAGAAAGTACGGCAGACACTTCCTGACGGCTCAGTGAGTTGAGTGACATTCATAGAAGTGCACCTGTGTGAAGGAGACTTCAACATCTCTGCACCAAATTATATTCAAATTTGCTCAAGTATTCCTGGAGTTAATGTTCACTCCAATTTTAAATGAGATTTTCTTCCAAATGTAACAGACTTGTATGGACACCATGAGATTTTTAACACAAATTTAACTATATACTTAAAAATGCACTTATTCCATTACTTCAGAATACAAACTCCTGGAATTGGAATAAGTTTCAAAGTCAGACAAATCCTGAATGCAAATGCTGACTGGTGTAGTGAGACAGACTAAAGTTTTCACCTATTCTTTTAGTTCCTCGTCACACACACACTTGTTTATTTCCTTACATTAGTCTTCCAGGCAGCAGTTCTACTAATGACTCTACTGCTGCTATTTTCAGCCAAGTGATTCATTTATGTTTTCAGAGAAATATTAATGCTGGGTAATGAACCTAGTGCTATCACATTAGCAGTACCGTGCTACAAACAGCGCAGGGTTTCTTTTGTCATTTCATATAGTCATTTATCTGAAAAGTGAATCCATTTTTGCTGCAGAAGAAACTGGCAAAGGGCCACCGACAGAAACTGCCACATTGTGATTCTCTACAGTGACTTGTGCTCTTTGTCAGGTTATCTAGGTCAATGTCGGGATTGCAGAGGTAGACGACTGCACTTCACTGTTCATCCAAGAGGCTTTTTTTAGTTTGTGTTTCTCAGTCAATTAAAAGGCTTTCAGAATTACTTTCTACAAAAATGTTCAACTGTCAACTCTTGAGTCTTCATTCATAGGTAAGATTTACACACCTGACTGACCAGCTATTTTCTCTCAAGTCATATAATTAATTCATAAATGACCTTTTCACCTTAGTTTAACAGGTTTAATTCTAAAAATCCTAAATATACAAATAAAACACCTGAAATAAAATTACAGAAATTCATTTAAAGGTCAAAAATCTCTATTCTTGTAAAAGAGTTTAGGCCATTAATATTTTTATATATATATTATATATATTATATTTATACTTATTATGAATTGGAAAGTTTTGTGGAACTTTTAGAGAAAACAAACTAGAGAAAGTCAGTGCAAAAAAAAGAAAAAAACTCCCTGAACTGCAGCAGTGCAACTAGAGTTCAGTTGATGAAACCTTTACTGCAGTTCACAATCATGCAAACTAATATGTAATGAATTTAATTTTACTTATGAATGACATGGTACCAATTACTTCAATCATTTATTATGCAATATAACAACATAATATTGATTCCTGCCTCAGGAATGTCTCAACTTTGGTCGAGAAAGACCTCCCTTGATGTCTCAACTTTGGTCGAGAAAGACCTTTAAACGTCATTAGTGCAGATCAAACTATACTGAAATCAGAAAAGGTACAGAAACAACGCAATTTGGTGTGGGTTTTTTTTGGGGTGCATCTTAAAAATCCTCTGACCTTGTCACACCACCCTTCCTGAGTCAACTCAACAACCAAACAACTAAATGCATTGTAACATGGACCATTTCAGACTAAAAGTTTTGGGATTTAGAGTGTTTTTGGGATCATTTACCCAGTGATATTTTTCCCAGCAGTGCAGCTGACGGCACCCAGAGTTTAAATACAGCATGAAAAGTTTTAAAGCAAAAAAGTTAAGCTTAACAATCATGTTTTCCGACAAGCAATTTTCAACTTTGCCGCAAACCCTCCAACCCCAGCTTCTGGTTTTCTATGTTAATAAGGAGTGGGGGGTGGCTTTCTTAAACCAAACATGTCAATGGTGATGAAAGCCCACCTTCACACACTATGAATACACCCCTAAAGAACAAATTCAGCCATTTTGATTCCCAGAGGAGTGTAGTTACGTCAGTCTTGCCCAACTGTATTAATGGGAAAAGGCTTTCAGGGGGAGGGACCTGCCCTGACTCCCATTAAAGACAGTGGCTATAAAGGAGCTTAAGACAAGGCTGCAGCCGGCACAGTGACACAGGCACAGACCTACAGTCAGTAGAGTGTGTCTATGTGCACGTATGTGAGAGTGAATAAATAAAAAGGCACCCAGGGAAACACTTGGATGTAAGTGTGTGAGGGAGAGTCTGAGCCCAGAGCAGAGGAGACAGGAGCACAGGAGAGAAGAGGGCGAGAGAGAGAGCGAGAGAGAGAGAGTCAGAAGAGAGGGAGAGCGTACAAAAGAGAGAGAGAAAGAGAGACAGACAGAGATAGTGGGGAGACAGGGACTGAGACATCAGAGTGTGGAACAGGTTCTTTGTGCAGCACTTTGGACTCAGCCTCAGCAGACATGCCCAACTTTGCCGGCACCTGGAAGATGAAGAAAAGTGAGAATTTTGACGAACTTCTCAAAGCTCTGGGTGAGTCGTCTGTCGTCTCCTCTCTCTTTTCTCTTTTCCACCTTATATGATAGCCACAACTACCTCCCTGCGTGAGGTTGACTATCCATTCATCACAGTGAAAACAGGCTTCTTTTCCACTACTACATTCTTGACTCAACTGCAAAATCTTATCGTCCAGAGAAACTGCCCCGGAGAAAGAAAGATAGAAAGATTCCCTGCAGAGAGATGCTGCTGAAGGGAAACCCCTGGTCTTTACAGGAGGTGTGAGACAGTGGATGCTGAATTCAAGTCTAAACAGACATGGTATTGTTTTATAAGAAGAGGAGGGGGTACAACATTATTCATGTTAATCATTTAAGTAGGGCATTCATTAGCTATGCCAGCGGAGGTCTCTGTGGAGCCCTGCGTCACTCTCCCGCATCTCATCATTTTCATCTCCCTCACTCTTCTAGGATCTGAACTGATGTTTGATGTGACTGAGATTTAGACCAGCTTATCTGGGTCTGTCAGGTTTGAACCCGGGCGGTGGTTGATCATTTTTTAATTTTTTAGATATGGACAGTTTTGTGGTTTCTTTCAGTGATTTGATATCTTTATATATTTCCTCTTTTTTTCCCCGCAACCGTTGCGCTTAGTTCAATTAGGTTAATTATATAGTTTGTAGAAATAGTTTTTTGTACGTTAAAGAGAATTAGAAAGAAGATCTATAGTCACTGCCAATTCAATTAGTTACAGTCAGTCCAGTTGTTACAAAAGTGACCTTCATTTGTGCTTTTAATTTGTTTATTTAACATCACTTAATGACTGAATTAGTGTACTCATAATGAAAAGGTGCTTCTCAAAAGTCTTTTACAGTAAACAAAAGTTTTACAAAATGTATGTTGTTCAAATAATCAGTCTGCATGTTTATGCTCCGAGAAACACTGACACTAAAAAATATACTAAAACATATCCTGTCAGAAAACAGGTATTTGGTGAATATATCTTCTCTTAAACCTATTACAACAATTATTTAATCTAATCTAATTTAAATCCAACTAATCGAGTTTTGAGGCTGAATCACATTTTCTTCTTAATTTTTCCTGAAACTGAAGCAGTTTCTCCCCTGATTTAAAGGACCCCGTCTCCAACTGTCCATCTATTAATGAATGTATGGACCCCACCTGCTGGGCCAGATCACTCATCCACTTCTATGTAAAGAAGTGGTCAATGGAGAGTTTTAATGACGGGTCACTCGTGTGGACGCTTGTGCTGCAGGGTCGCCACTTTACATCAACATCTTCATAATCATCTGTTGACTCACAAAATGTGGTCCAACCCTCAGCAGAAATATCTGCACATTAATAATGAAGACCCCAGTGCAAAAATTGCAAACTAAAAATAGAATTTTAAACTTAGAATGTAGGTGTTAGTAATATACAGGTTTTGGTGAGTGATAAAAATGCTTCTGTTAAACATAAATGTGTGCACAAACACCTAACGTCCAACATTTTTTTGCATATTTTTCCATTTGTCCTTTACTTTCACTCATAAAGTAATTTACATGATGTAAAGGAATTAATATGCAAAAATGCTAATAATGTTTGGAGGGTGATAAGGGGAAGAACACTTTTTCACAGATGCACAGGTAAAGTGGTGCGATGCCTTAGATCATGGGTGGAGTAGAGTGTAAGATAATAAATCAATGTTTTTATATTTTGGGTGTTGACCACACAAGAACTCAGTGGTTTTTGTGGGTCATAAGAATGTCTCAAATTTGATTAAAGTAGATTTGGAGGGTTTGGAAATCTAGACTTTTTATATATGTTTTTAAAACCGAAGGAAGTAAAAAGGGTGGAATAAAATCTCCAGGAACTTTGACAGGACATGTTGCTAAACGCAATGTGTGGCGACATTTTTCTGCAAGGTCATCGATTTTCCACCTGACAAACAAAGTGCCGGATTTTATCTACCCTGACATCCACCTATGAGTTTCCTCCCCCAAAACAGACTTGGTTACAAACTTCTTCACACAGACTTCAGAGCCAAAGTTCCACTGACTTCTCTGAGTTGTAAGAAAAAGCTGAGGTTTCTGTCACAGCCACAGCTATTTCATTTTCTGGCTCCACTGAAATATCTGCATTTATGTCATTTTCTATTTTTAAGCACACACACATCAATGCAAAGACGTCACCAATGAAGGTAAAGTATGAGTCACAGGGACATCAGTATATTTGTTGCCTTGTGTCAAATATAGAGAAATAAATATACAAGGCAAAGAGAGAAAGACATTAGGGTAAAAGAAAATCTGTGAAGAATAACCTAAAAAATCAGTCTTTCTAGTTCAGATCCTGTTTATAGGAAAATATAAGATAATGTGATAAACTGACCGGTCTGGGTGGGGGTGTATACAGGTATACAACATGTCAGACTGAGCACTGGACTATACAGTCTGCTGCAGTGTTGCAACAATGTTGATGAAATGTGCGGTGCATTTAACAGAATTCAATAAGACCTTCACGTCGTCTTTAAAAATTACTTTTACCTTCCAATAGAATCAAATTCCACAAAATGTCCAATGTAGACCATAAACTCTGTTGACTAACAGGCTTTAAACTGTATGTACGTACCTCATCAGGGGTGAACAGCATGCTGAGGAAAGTAGCCGGGGCCGCTGCCTCCAACCCCCAGGTGGAGATCCGTCAGGACGGAGAGCAGTTCTACATCAAGACCTCCACCAGTGTGCGTACCACCGAGATCAACTTCCACATTGGAGAAGAGTTCAACGAGGAGACAGTGGATGGACGGAAGTGCAAGGTAGAGTTTCAATTGAAAAAAAAAAAAAAAAATTTTAAAGCTCTTTAACAGCTCTGATGATCTGTTGAAATAATCATGGTGTTTTGAAGATATTGGAAATACACAGTTGCTTTAATGAAAATATTCATAACAAACGCAACTCTGTTGGGATGTCCCCGATAAATGCAAACTGGATAAATATTAGCAACAAAATAAATATTTAAAATTGGTCACAGAATTCATTGAAATAAGCATACAGGTTATTTAAACACATTTTTTATGTGACTGAAAAAAATATATATTTGTAAATTATATTTGGAATGTTAGGAAGGTTACGGAAGGAAGGGTGGGGGAGTGGGGGGGGGGTGTTGATGATTAATACACAGGAATTTTAATTGTAAAGAAAAAAAGACTTTACTCTTCGGATCTGTGGCTGTGTGAGAAACTCCCTCCTGGGCCTGAAGAGCTTCAGAGAGAATCTCTCCTCCTGCCGTCGCTCCTTTTTCTCCTCTTCCTCCTCCACCTCATCCCCCACCTGACTGAAGCTGCCTTTAATCCACCTGCAGGTGTGAGCATTTTACCAATAGATGTGAATACGTGGAGGCACTCATTTTTTTATTAAAACTGCTAACGGTAGCAGCACCAAGAGACCGCAAGAAAAACAGTTAAATGTACAACTTCAACAGACCAGAAATATAAAAGAAGTTAAAAAGTGTAACAAGAGCGGGAGAGTGGATTACACTTTGGTAAAAACATCTTATAATCTACTATTAGCTTAGCATATAAACACACAGTTTCATTGATAGCACACCCCTGAAACTGGGTTGTTTCTGTTACCGCCAGTGTCATTTCAGTTCACTTACATACATACATACTTCTCTCAATGGTTTAATTGCACTAAAACACTGAGTCATTCAGACAATGTCATGGTTCACTGTGAATAATGCGAGTTTGTACAATCTGAACAATCTGGAAGCCAATCTCAGTTTCTGTCTCTGAGAGTCCGTCACCACTTAGTGGGGAAAAAACATTTAAATACAATCAAGTATTATTCACATCAACAAATGTCCATTATTCCCGTCTATCATGACTGATGTGGACTTTTTTTTTAAAGAGTATAAGTGATTTGTGTCTTGCCTTAAGGACGTAAAAGCATTTGTGGACGTGGTGTTCATATTCTGGTGGTCGTCATCTGTGGAGAACAGAACAATGTTAAAATAAAATGAGTCGGTGTATGAAGCGAACATAGCGACAGTCTGCTTTGTTTCACTCAATTCTTAACCACTTAATATTAATACTTAATAAAATACCTAATATTAAAATTAAAAAAAAATTGACATTAAAAAAACCTACGATTACAACGGTACATAAAGTCTAAAACTGTCTTTTCTGTTTTAAACCAACGTCTTTCTAAACAGCAGGAGTAATTCTAAAGACGGTGCCACGGCCAGAAGAACCTCCTCATTAAAACCCAACAGTCTGTCTGAGCAGCAGATGCTCTGCTGAGACATCGCTCTGCTCTACTCGTCTGACCACAGTCACTTTCTGAAAAACCATACGGAAACACAGAATAAATATTATTTTTGCCAAACCTCTCCATCTCACTGCAAAAGTATCCTCAACTTTATTACTATTAATTTATTATCCTAAACATTCCTGTTCAGTGGAAAGCAGTAATATTCATGCCTGTGGAAAGAAAATATATATACTGCTGCTCGAAATGGAAAAGTAATGAAGTAAAAAAAATAAATAATTTTAAAATAAATAATTTTTGACACAAATGACATGACGCACCAATAAACAAAAAAAAAACACAAAATCTGGGTTTTTTTTGGAGAGCAGGAGTACAGTGTGTCTCATTCTGTCTCTGCCCTGAGGCATGATGGGAACTGGTAGGGTGAAAAGTGAATCCGCTCTGTCCTGATTTTTTAGTTTTTGTCACATACTATTTTTCATGAATAAGTTTTGGCTTCAGTATTTGAATATTCACCGGGTTGTGGTCAGAATATTTGTTGTTACCCACTAATTTACTCAATTTTTAATGGACAATGTGGACATGAGTATTAGGAGAGTTTCCCATCGCTGCCCACCTCAAGAGGTTGGATTCTAATGAGCTAAATCCCACTTTTGATTTTGGATTCCAACCACAAACTGCACATAAGAATTGGACAAAACTTTGGGAATTTTATGAAGACAAAACACAAAAACTAAAAGCTCTTACAGTTTTTCCCAAATGTATTTATTTTGCAAGAAAAAAAAAGCCAAACGATACTCAGATTTAATTTGGCAATTTCTAATTTGTCTCCTTATGTCTAAATGTTGGCCTTCATATTCTAAATGTATTGCCTATAAAAAAACCTTTAGAAAATATTTTTCTAAACAAAGAACCTGTTACTACCAGTTTGCTTTGGTCCATTTTGAATTAGTTAATATTTACACCAGGCAGAGACCAATACTATTTTTTCAGACTTTTTTGATTTGTAAACTTAACTCATGTTAATATGATTTGGAAGACTAAAGACTGGAAATAAATCCATGTTTACTGTCACTGACATATCACTGAGTTAGTTGTTGTGATGTCACGCTGATGCCATGGGAATCTTAGGTAAAGCACCGTGGTGCAGGGACTCCAGTGGGTTTTGGCCGAGGCAGTCCACCCCATAGTTAAAGGGATTACACACTGATCTGTGTCTGGCAAAGAGCAGAGGGTTGATTAACAGGGCCACTAGGTTAAAGATCTGCAGTTAATCTGTGCAAGTGCATTGGGATCAGAGTGTCTCGACTCACATCCAGAGGCAGAAGGTGAGAAGATGTTTGCTTTTAGTCGCAAGGGCAACAGTGAAACAGACCCTGATCCAGCTTTAGTGGAATGGAAGCTGTCATTAAAGTGTTTAAGTACTGTTACTGCTCTGACAGACAGATGGACCGACTATCACCGACACATGGGCTTTTTACACCATCTGGAAGAATAATTTAGGTCAACACTATCAAAACAACATGAGCGATGAACGTTAAAGTTCTTCATCATCTACACCAATCCTGATGATGAAATCTGATAGCTGAATTCTTCTAAAGGTGTAACTGAACCAAAGTTAAAGCAGAACCAAATCGTACCACTCTGTCAGAACCATAGAAGCATCTGGTAGGACCGTTGCTTCTGCCCAGTGGTTGTTTAAAGGAGTGCATCTCTCTTCAGGTATTTGAAATGTCCATTTAATAAAATAATTTATTTTATGCTAGAAACTTTGGCCGAAAGCTAAAACTGAATCACGAAAGTGATGACAGGAAGAAGAAGGCGGTCCAAATGTGGGAATAAAATGATTCCAGATGACTTGTGTTCAATAGTAAAGAATATTTGTCAAAGACAGAGGTCGACTTCTGTGGGACAAAACTGACTACAACTAATCTACAGCTAATCAATTCTCAGTGGTCCAGAGTTCTATTTATCTCTTGGTGTTGACTTTCTAACTTCACTGCATCTCACCCTGCAGAGTTTGGCTACCTGGGAATCTGAGAACAAGATCCACTGTCAGCAGACCCTGTTGGAGGGACCTGGGCCCAAGACTTTCTGGACCAGGGAGTTGAATGGAGATGAGCTCACACTGGTGAGTACCAAGCAAGGATTATTGACTATCAAACTGTTTTGGTTTTGTTTGTTTTTGCAGAAAACCATCAGAGCACATTTTAAAAAATGAATATCATTGTGAGATCAGAGGCCTGTACTCCAATGAGAAACTAATCTTTGGTTTGTCTGTTGCGTGGCTCCGACTTGATGGAGTCAGGAGATGCATTGAAATGAGAACACCCCCCAACCCCCACCCCCGCCCTCACCAGGCAGTGAGTCTACTGTGTTTGAGCAATGGTTAATGAAACAAGGCAGAGAGTGAATAAAGTCACCCTGGAGATTTATCCTTATAGGAAATGAGAGAGGCAGTTTCCCAAGAAACCCAGCTTTCATCCACCCCGCAGAGACATGTGAAAAGAGAACAAGAGGAGCTGCGACGCTGACACCACACTAACACCCCCTGTATTTAGTTAGATTAATATGTGCAGGAGTCAATGGGTCTAAAGCTCCTTGAAGGATGTGCAGAGAGACGTCCAAAGACCAAAGGATCCAGACGAACAGCTCTGAAGAAATCAACGGTTTTCTTCTGTCAAAGTTCAGAGCTCCCCCGTTTTGCTTTGTTGTTTTCTTGTGCATTTTTGTGCATACAAATGCATGACACGGTGAGATAAAATTATTCTGATGGTGGAAAGTAATTACAGGATGTCAGGAGAGAATTATTACAATCTAGAAACATAGTCTGTCAGGGAAGGCCTCAGACATCTTCCTCATATCCAAAAAGATAAAAAGATAGAATATATTATTTTTTTCTCTGTGTGGAATACCGAGTGACTCCGGCTGATGTGTTACTGCAGCTTATGTTGGCAGCACTTTTGCCAAGATGCCCTGGAGGAACTGAACCATTTATGCTCTAATGGAGAATTATTCAGCCCGGCTGGGACAGTGGCAGAAATCTGCCTCTCTCCCTCTCTGCTTGTCTCACCTCAGTGCTCAACCCCTGTCACACTCGCTTAACACAACTACAGACCACACTTTAATCGTAGCTCATGAAAGCATCAAAGCAGATCCTGAACCATAATTAATCACGAAAATGCTCATGTGCTGAGTCACACTCATCATTTTTACATTAGATCGTCCAGATGCCGCAGGTTCATCGAGTTAAACTGATTCAGTTTGTTGCCATGACAACACCAACAAGTACATTTGTTCATCCCACACTGGGAGAAACCTGTCCTAGTTTCAAGTTCACAGCAGCTCAGACAAGTCAGAGTAAAGGACGACCTGATGAAAAGGAAGTGACACATTTTACTGTTCGGGATGGTTCCAACTTTCAACTGCCACGGATGAAATACGACTTCACTAAGTGGAAGAAATGTAGATTTTGAAACAGACAGGCTGGTGAGAAAGTATTTTTCACATCTGTTTTACTGCAAAACATACATCTGCTGAAATCCTTCTTTCTGTCCACCTGGCAGTGAGACAACAACTCCTGCCAGTGAGACAAAGACTTGAAGGCAGCAGTAGCTGAGTGAAATGCTGAGTGCAATTGAAACCACACGTCTTCATACACAGCAGAAAAAGACAAATAGTTTCATTCTAAAATACATTTTTTTGTTATTTTGTCTAAGTTTAGAGAGATAAATTTAAAGAGATTTTATTTAAAATATATTGTTTTTGCTGTGATATTTATTTATTTATTTTTCTGTACAACAAACTTTAAACTGGAATTTTACCTTTTACTTCTGCTAACATTTTTTATGAATTAAAATCAGATTAAATTATTCTTAATCCACTTTTAAAGCAATGGTGTTTTTTATTTTATACCAACATTTCTTTATTTTATGGCCGATGTCAGCCACACAACTTTGTATCCTCATGATACCATCTATTTCTGGAAGGGCAGCAGTCATATCTGCGTGCAAAATATCTTAAACTATTTTAACCCTTGGAATAGACTCTCGTGCTAAGAAACTTCCACTTTTGTCCCCATAGAGCATGTGTTCCAAGTTGTAACCCACGTTGCTGTAGGGCTAGCCTTAGTGTGGACATTAATAACAAACAGCTTCACGAAAGGTGTTGCTCTGTTTTGTTTTTTAAATGCACGTTTCGCTCCACAACATGTTAATCTCTGGTACTTTACAACAAACTAAAATAATTAAAAGACGAAACCGCTTACCTTCTAAACGAAATTTAAATGAAAAAACAGACCCAAATAAACGCCTTTCCGACCTGTCAAAACATATTACAGCTCCAGTAAAAGGCCGCCATATTGGACAAGTCCAATCGAAGGTAAACTGATGATCAACCAATCACCAGTCGGTAATGCAACCAATCATATCACAAGTTAGAAGCAAACATATTTGCATCCGAAATTACTCGTGTACTGACAAAGCTACAGTACAGAGCTAGTGTATTAAGACAAGGTGATAGAGGAGGCAGAGCTACACGATTAAATAACGTACATGGAAACGAGTACAATGTACAGTGTATTAAGACAAGGTGATAGAGGAGTAGAGTTTTCAGAACGATAACAAATAAATAATCTCTAAATGAGGTCTGAAATTGTAAAAAATAATCTCTAAATGAGGTCTGAAATTCTGAAGACTAAATGTGTTCTGTAGCAGAATCCCATTGATTAATTAAATCAATTTTGTGCCATATTTTGGAGAAAATAATTCCTGTAAGAATCATGATATGAGCATAATACATAATAAATCTCGAAGATGCAGATTCAGCTGACTTTGAAGGGCAGTCTTTTACACCGCTGTTGTTTCAAATGCAAAAATGTCTTTGTGTTTCCTGCAGGTATTCGGGGCAGACGACGTCATTTGCACAAGGATTTATGTGCGGGAATAATAACGCTGATCAGGAGACGGCACAAACACAACTGGACCACACTTTGTCATGCTAATCTAATGAAACACACCTATCCTGTGGCAGGCGTTAATCTGCGTAGTATTCATATACAGTAGCATTCAATGTGCCAGTAATCCCGTAGTAATTTCTGCAGTCAGTTTGCAGTAGTTTGCATACTTTTCATCAACAAAAGTCATCATCAGTGAAAACAATAAAAACTTTCAAATCTCAACAAACAATGACTCCTCTTTTTTCCTCGTAATATTATATCTGTGTTCTGCGAAGTTCCCTCGGTTAAAAAACAAAAGATTTACTAGAACATTGTGGAATGTGTCAGTACATCTACTTCATGCTTTCTGTGCATTGTTCTGAAGTGGTGATCGTTGACCCAGTTATTCCATCACATCAAAACTTTTACACATTGCATATTTATAAAACCACCTGCTCTCATTTCAGTTACTTAATAACTGAAAAATAGGAGGAATTATGAATTAGCATTACTCTGTACATGCAGTACATACACCTCATACTTCAACAAATCAAGATAAAAGCCTTGTATTATTTTATGTCACCCTCTCACTCTGCCTCCTCCTCTGCGTCCTCTGCCCAGACAGCCCTCAAGACACTTCTTTGTGTCTGCAACAAGATGAAAGACTCAGTGGGACTGAAGCCAGACACCCTCGAACAAATATGGTGACAGGTTTCAAACCAGGATGCTGCCGTCTGGCACTAAAGTCTTAGCAGATTTGTTTTCAGACCCAATGCATTTTATGCATTTTTCTGCTACTCTCAACATTAATCAATCAGCTTCTCCAGCTAAACTAAAGCTGTGGTTAGTTGTAATTCACCACTAGTAAATAGAACATAATTTTACCAAGAATATTAGTTTGGCAAATCTATATCATAGATATTAATGATTAATAGAAACATTTGATTAATTATTGGACATACAAATGTAAAGTATCAGATGTTTCTAGTAAGTTGTCCTAATTGTTTTTCCTTTTTGGGAATAATTAATTATACTCCTATGGGGCAGCTAGTTGGGATGAGAACAAACTAATCAAGAGGAGGGTTTCCCAACCACCAGGCTGAGGACCAGTATCAGGCCGTGAATCATTTGATACCGGACCACAGAAAGGATAAACATTTTAACATTTAATTTATGTATTATGCATAGCATTTTATTTTGAAATAGGATCTCTTCTGTACCTTCCCTCCCAGCCGTTCAACTAAGGGGGAAAGGCCTAATGATGAGACAATAGAAATCTCCAAAACTGCCACCCAACATAGGGCACAAAAAAAGGTTGGGGAGCACTGATACAGCGGTAAAAGTGTTTCACTCTCTACTGTGGTGGGGAGCCTTGGCATGGACTTCCCGAGGGTGAATATGGGCAGAGAGTGGCACAACTTAAAAAACAAAAAGCCAATCTGTCTCTGTCCTCCACGGCTGCCAGGGATTAAAAGCTTGTCCTTTCAGCACTCAGCCGTGTGAGCTCTCACCCAGCGAATGGCGGCCGTTTCCGAGGTTGCCGGGACATGTCTACACTGTCCCTGGTTTTTCACCTGATATTCTCTGAATGAATGGGCTTCTCTCTGAGTGCACCACAATGCTCTAGGAAGCATGAACCAGGGCGGATGCACGCTGTGATGTTAATTTAATGACGAGCTGCTGTTCAGATGAAAGGGGCCAAGCAGTCAAATAATAGGAGTGTTGTGAGGACCTCGCCCCTGCCCCTCCCCACCCCCCCCCCCTTCCCCCCCCACCCCCCCCTTTGCCCATCATACCACTAGTTATGGCAAAAGACAGTGGAGCTTCTATTAAAAAAAATGCATTTTTTGAGTAATGAAGCTTTACTCAGTCTAATGATCACATTTTTAGTTTAGTTTAGTTTCAGCCGTTTTGAATGTTAAATAAACAGGTAACTTAAAGTGTTAAATTTCTTTGCAAGATGGTGAAATCAGTGTAAGGAAAACTAGTACTGTGCTGTTAAGTAGAAAAACAAAGTTAAGAAATAAATCTGTTCAACTAATGGCTCCAAGAACAAAAAGAGAAAAAAAAACTTGGTTTGATTTCTTGTCATTCATTAGTAAAGTAACAGTTTATTATTAACTTTACTCTTATTAACCTCATGTGTAGCATTTTGTTATTAGAGAGTGACTACTGTGCGTCCCACAGGTCTTCGGGATAAGGACATATAAACTCTTTGCTCCTGTGTTTGTCACTGTCAGCTGGTGCTAAACCTCAACGCTGCTTGAAAAGGTGTGACATGCAACACACTAACACATCAAGTGGATCAGAACGCCACGGGAGAAAGGGAAAGGTCAAGTTCAGCCAAGTGTGTTTGGGGTTGTGTGGGGGTTGCTGTCACATTAAATTACCCAGCCTGCTTTGTGTCTGTGACGTCCCTAATGACGTTCTCCTGTGATTTATTTAGTCACGCTCAAGTCTTGAGAAAATGGCTTTTTCAGGATGAGACACACACACACACACACACTGTGGATGCCAAAGCTCTGCAGGGATGCTGATTGAAGAGAAGCAGAGCACAGCAGGTGGAAGACAATAATACTCACACGTATAAACATATATACACTTAAATACACCTATTTAAATATATATACGTATATATATATTTATTTTTCAATTAGCACCAAATGATATGATGGAACAGCTAACAAGCTTCTTCTCCTAAAAACAGCAAAGCAGTTTAACAGTAAGTTGATCATTCTCTATCTCAGCATGTTCTCACCATATTAATCCAAATTAATATATTGAGAACTGCTTCTTAGCAAGAAACCGCTGTACATGAATAAGCTTATTAAAAAAAAAAAAAATTAAGTGATTAATGCTCTGGCCTTACAGTATTGTTAGGAGTCCAAGTGCAAACTAACTACATCTTCTCATCATCTACAGATGTGTGAAATACAGCACAATCTGCAAAAAACTGAACTCCTCATGATCTGTCACTGACGTATGAGTAGTCGAAATCCATGTGCTCACTCTCTGTTTGTTAATTGCCCTGAATTGTGAGCAACAAAGGCCTAAAAGCTGCAGGGACAATGGAAGCTCTGTTGCAGCGACAATAGCTCAGAAGTTCAGCTAATGTTGAAAATTAGGAAGTTAAAAGCTTTTGAAAGTTCACAAGTCTGAACACCGAGGAAGTAGTCACGCAGAAAAGCTTTCAGAAGAGAGAAGGGTTGGGGGACCTCCGTCCTTTGTAGCCAGCGCTGGCTTTGGAGCAACACTGGCTGAACTCATTATTGGTGTTGCCGGGGGAGGTTGGCTGGCCTCAGTCCTCACCAGGGCCTCAGCACAGTGGCAGCCAAATGGGTGAAGGATGTCCAGCTCTGAGTGGAAGTCTTATGTTGAGGGCATGAAAGCAGCACGTACGGCTAATTGGGTGAAAATGTTCACCCAAAGCTAACATGGACCCTGGCTCTAAACAAAAACATTGCTGCCAGGAAGGGACACAAAAGATGGGCAGATTTAAGAGTCCTCCAATAAACTTGTGAAGAAATATCTACATATTTACTTATGTAGACTCAAACAATATTTACACAATACATTTTTCTTTTCATGATTATTAATTGAAGGTTGTATATTTCAACACCTGTTTACCAAATCTATTTCTTAAGACAAGCCGTTTAACTAGCTTAGAAGAGTTTCTGTATCACAGGTTATTTCTACAAATCAATTCTCAATGTGAAACAAGATGCGGTTGTTGTGAGTGGAATGGCTCCCTCTGCAGGACATTTTTGATTATTAACATTTTGATCAGAGCTGGTTAAAACTTGCTGCCTCATTGATTCACTTTGTTTTTAATAAAATTAAAAAATCTTAGAAAGTCCTATGAACTCAGCCAATGCACAAGTGAAATCAAGCCAACAATTCAACAACACCAGACACATGTAGGCTACAAATGTTTTTATTATTACTTTAAATAATGTCTAAATAAAGGGACTAAAGACATGCTTCTGTGAGACTTCTTCCATTTATCAAAAATATGGTGTATGGTGACATCTGCGGCAGAAATCTATCCAGGAGAGGGAAGTGTGCATCACCAGGTAAGACTGAGGTGGAGTCCATCCAGACCGAACTTTTTAAATAAGTCTCACCATCGCCATGGACGGTGCTGGTCGTCAAAGGTGGGCAGTGATTTTTTTTTTTGGCCGAAACAAATATCCTTTTTGTAGGAAATGTCATTCTTCAAATATAAAAACCAAAAAGGCCTGGATACATTTCTACTCTTCTGAGTTTTGACTACAGAATTTAAAAAGTAACAGACAAAGAACACACAAAGGGGGGAACAGCTATAATCAACTCCCTTTGGTAAAAACTGTAATAAATGGTTTTGCATTTGTCTTTTCCGTGAACATACTAACTTTAGCCATTTATCACTAAGTCCACAGTAACCTTGTAAAGTATTACTAGCACAACAACACAGATTTGTCATAAAAAGTCTGAGACTATGTACAGTGTATTTACAATGTGAGTGGACAGTCCTATCAATGAAGGGTGTGTGTGTGTGTGTGTGTGTGTGAAAGCTGGTGGCAGAGGGCGTTCTCTTTAAAAAGGTTGGACTTCCAGGGCGGCAGGGATCATGTGTATTTATAGAACTATATATAATATATATACACAACACATACACTGGAATTCATGTCAGTATCTGACATTCACGAGCTATACAACTTTTTCAGTCTGAGACCAAACAGTGTTGTGAGGCTACTTTCTTTTGTACATTAGATGCAACAGTGCATTTGGCGATAACCTGACAATATTGTTTGGGGCTCAGGCACAGTTTCTAGTAATGCTGCCAAGTGTTTGTTAGGAGAAAGCAGAGGAAACACCCTTTGTTTCTCCTCTAGTGATAGGTACATAGTTGTGATTTGGCCATAACACAGGAATGTCTGGACCAGACTTTGTTTGAGCTTCCTCCAACATTTCACTTAAGGGGGAAAAAAAAATCCTATTCCTAAATAAGTGCACTTGTCCTCATATTGTTTTACATTGTAACTGTATAATAACACTATAGTAAAGAAAATCCCTGTACGACTGACATACGATGGATGGAGCGTGTTCAGTCAAAATCGGAGTATAAAAAGCACCACTCTGTCTCTCTCAGCTTCACAGCTTGTGTTGCTGAGCCCTGCAGAAATAAAAAAAGCTCAGGGAACTTTGTTTGAGACGTGGTTCTGAGTTGCTGGTAAGAGCTCAGGTCCAGGACTGGAACAAGACCATTCCTAAGTTTTGGCACTGAAGGCCCTGTGAGAAAAAAAAAAAGTGGGCCCAGCTAAAAACGCTGGTAAAATCAGTAATCCTGCCGCCCCGGGTGCAACGCGACACGGCAGCTAGCTAAATTGTGCTCCCATGTCAGCCTTAAAATCACATTAATAAGCCCTCATCCCTCACTCTACTGCTGACCTGTTTGACTTCAGACCAAACACAACCACAGGAATCAGTCTCTCTTTCTGCTCCCTCCTCAGCTACGGTGCTTTTCCAGCTGTGCCGTATTTGACGCGGTACTTGTTGATGTTCATGAAGTGTACAACCTCCGGCTGACGAGCGGTGGTGCAAGGCAATAACCCTTCGCGCCCCTCCCCCATCAGCCACTTGTTGGTCTCAGTGCTCATGTCGCGGGTGACATGCTCCTTGACCCAAGCATCCACCCAGGCCTGGAAGCGATTGTGTAGCCGCGTGCTCACCCTCTCATGTGACTGTTAACATAAAGATATGTTTCAATTTGTGAAACTGAACACAAGAGACATTACAAATAAACACACACACACACATTTTCATATAATTCTATACACACACATGTTTAGCACATATATACATTTAAGTAATTTTAAGGTAATAATTATTAGAAAATCTTCAACAGTAACTTTGATTTAGAGCTCCCTCTACTGGTGAGCTTAAGAGGAGTCGACTTTCACTACACCTGGTTGAATCAACCCTGCATGTAAACTAGTCAGTAAAAGCGGACCAGTGCAGATATACATAAGGCCAGGAAGCAGGTACAAATGTACTAAGATGACAAAAGTGTGCAGTAATTACCTGGTGTGCTCGCAGCAGGGCCGTGCGTCTGTACATGTAATCCTCCGACTTGAAGACGTAGACCATCTTGTAAGAATTGAGTTTGAACATACACTCCATTTTTTCTTTTTCCAGAGATTTCTTTCCACCCTCACAGGCTTCCTTGTCCAGTTGCTCTCGGCCCTTCTGGTACTTCCGGATGCGTCTAAGATTCCTGGATGGGCATAAGAAGAATGACTAATCAAATCCAATTCTTGCAAACTTTTCTGCTTTTCCCCTTGAAGCCAAACCTTCAGGAAAGATGCTTTAGTTAATAAAACTCTAGATCATGAAGACTTTTCTAGACTTTTGTTTTAAGACAGCATTGCTCTGGTGGACCACATAAAATCACCAGTCAGCCATGATTTTGACATTCATGTTCTGTGCTATTTAGTAATTGTTTTTTATTTTTATTCTTTAAGAGTGGCAATAACACACCTGGGAAGAAAGACAGGTTTCTGGGCGAGATGCTCCCTCAACTCAGGTGTGGTGGAATCTGGGTTCAAGTAACGTTCTACATAATCTGACCAACGCTGCACAGAGAAGATAAAACCAGGTCAATGACATTTTAAACAATATTCAAGAACAATTAAAACAATGTAGAAATACACATAATGTTTTATACATAAAATGATATGCGGAAAAATAAAATTACTTTGAAACATTTGGAAAGTCAACAACAAAATATGAGTCCTAATAACAGCACATAGTAGCCCTTTTCTGATTGGTCAGACACAAAGCTTTTTACCTCTGCTTCCATTGGCTCTTCTGAGTTCTCCTCCTCTGTGTCCAGAAGCTCCACTGTGAGCTGCACCTGTCCACAGTTTCTCGAAAACATCACCTAAAGGAGTGACACAGAGAAAAAAGTTCACACAGACTGTGACAGTTTCTTCATGACAGAATGGAAGAGTCACTCAATCAAGAGGCAATCAATAATATTGTGCATACTCGGTAAATTTAAATATTTCTTTTACTTCCCCAAATTATCTTTTTCTGAAAAAAAAAAAAAGGCAGTAGTATTCGCGTGTATACCTTGAAGCAGTTATCTTCAGACATGAGTTGTTCGCCTTTCCGCTGATAGATGACCTCGGCAGAACTTCTTGAAGACAGAGTGGACAGGCTTCCTCCTGTGGCCCCATTGGAGCTCTCTGCCAGGTACAGGTTCATAACTTGGATGCAGATCTCATCACTTACGATGTGTTGGAGCTGCAAAAGAGAAAAACGTCACTGACAGACAGAAGCCAACATCTGACGGGTCAGTTGTGAGCTGAACTGAACTAATCCTCACCTGCCGAACGATGCTCTGGATGAGCTTGTCCATGGTGAAGGCCATGTAAGCGTGGATGGTGAACATTTCCCTCAGCGAGTCTTCGTACTGAGAAGCTTCCATGTTTCCGTCCAGCAGATTTCTGACCATCTCCAGGAAGGCAGAGTAGTAATCCTCCACCTCGATGTCCACTGAAGGAATCACATCGCCAATAATAATGAGACATTTTCATACATTTTTCATACATTGCTCTTTGTAAGCACTTCACCTGGTTTTTGTTTGTTTGTTCTTTGTATCTTGTTGTGTCAGATGCACTTAGCACAAAGAAAATGCTAACTAAAGCGTCACTGATCTCAAATTAAAGATAAGTGCAGCAAACAACTCCACAGATCTTCACTTAAAAGTACCGACATGGCTTGGAAAAATAATAAAATAATAATATTATTTGATTAGGTTTTAGTGGGAATTTAGCATACGCATTGTTTAAAAAAAAAAAAAAAAAGTACTCACTGGGCTCTTTCAGTCTCAGCTGGATGGCCGGATTGTCACTCTTCTCCTTCTTAAATCCGAGGACTTCCCTCTCCCAGTCACGTTCCCTGACCTCCTCTTCGATCTGCCGTTCTGCCTGTCCGTACAGACGTAGCAGACGTGAGCACAGCGTCTGGTGCAGCCGCAGGAAGATGTACCAGTTGTTGTTGATGTAGAAGAGGTTGTAGGCATCGTCGCAGCTGCGCAGCTTCTGCGCTGCAGTGTTGCTGAAGAGCAGCTTGGATTTGGAGGGGCTCCCGGTGCTGGGCACGCCGTTGTGCTTTTTGGATGCTCCCTCCTCCAGATCCATCTCCTCCTCCTCCTCTTCCTCCTCTACGTCAGAGAGCTCACCTCGCTGTGAGAACAGCATGTCTGGGATGAAGTGGTAGATGATCTGCTTGATCTTGTATTTGTCCTCCTTCTGAATGCTCGACTGCCTCTTGACATGATGGATGATGAGAGCAGCAGCATCCTCCAAGATCTGACTGTCTTCGTAGGCCAGGGTCAGCTGAGGACCCGTGGGTGGGCTGGCGTTTTCCTCCGAGGCCTGCTCCTGGCGCTATGGAAAATTAAATTATTCAGTATCAGCTTTAACATAAGTAGTAAAAACTTAAAAAACTGTGAGAGTCAATACTTTTTAATGCTTTACCTCATCATAGATGCTCTCTATTTCATTTAGCAGGGACTTGGATCGAAGCACTTTGGTGTCGTTCTGTTTGAAGTTGATGCCTTGATGGTCCAGAGATTTGAGGTAATACTTCTCATTCTGTTCTCTCCAGATCTTGTTGAAGCCTCTTTGGGCTTCCCGCCACTCCTCCTCCTTTGTCTTTAACCTGGTAAAAGCAACAGTGAAGGCAGACAAGCAGAACATTTGTCACAGATCTGAAACATGTGATGTCACAGATGTTTGTTATTCTGGTGGTTGTCTTTCACTTTTTGTAATTTTGTTATGAGTATTCACATTTCGTTTTACACACACATTTATCACATTCCAAAATAACAGTTTATGAGCCAAACTCAGAAATCCCTGCAAACATCCGAGATATTTTATTGGGACACTTTCAGACTAACCTCTTTAACACGATGGGAACAGAGATCGCTGGGTTTTTCTTTAAGCCGTCTATGATGTCAAGGGCTTTGTCCCCGTATATCCTCTGGATGGCCTTGCGATGCACAACCTCAGAGGAGCCACCTAGTGTGTTGTCCAAGCGGAACTTGGCCTGTTCTTCAGCAGACATTCGGGACAACTTCCGCTGTACTGTCTCCAAGACTCGGATAGTGGCCAGGTTAGTTTCCAGTACTACGTCCAGCTGTCAGTAGGAAAACAAGAAATTTTTTAAGATAGTTTAGTTTAGTTTACTTTCATCATGAATTAGGGAAAAAATTGTATTTATATATTAAAGGTAGAATGTGAATTTAATGACTAAAACACACAATTTGAGGATAAGACATTCTAATTGAGATAAATAGTAAGCACTGCCCACCAATAAAAACTGAAGTAACACCTTTACATGCTTACACACAGACAGCTGAAAACCCAAACTTGTCTAATTGTAATAAGAAAATGCAGTTTTAAATAAACTATAATAAATATACATTGTGATGCGTCTTAGCTGAACAGTAAACATCTGTGCTATTTTGATGTGTGATACTGAAGATTTTAGAGCCAAATACTTTCAAAGGTGGTTTCAGTGTAATACGTTTGAGAACCACTGTTAGAGGTCAATTCCTTAGAACCTTTAATATGTATATAGACTAAATGCAGGGGGAAAAAAGTTCAAATGCTGTGGGAAAATGAACATTACAATCAACAGTTGAGTTGTAATTCCAGAAGATTTCTCACCTCAAATCTTTCATCCTCACATCTGTAGATGTGCTCCTCATACTGAGTTTTTTTAGAACTGACAAAGGTGGAGTCTTCAGACCAGGAGGGGAAGGACACCCAGGTGTCATTCAAAACCTGGACACACACAGTCAAGATTCAAATCGTCGGGAATGTGATAGTCATGTGCATTATTTTCAGTATGTCTACCTCTTAGAAACCATCTTAGAGTTTGTCAAATGTTTTAACAAAATTCTGGGAAAAAAGCAGTCATTGTCTGCGATTTGTTTCTTTACATTAATTTCAAAAAGTATCACAAACGTGAGCAGAGGGTCGTTGAGCAACGCCTTTAATAACACAATCCATTTCTCCTTTCTGACCTCTTTACATAGTGGAGTTCTCCCAGTGCATTTGGGCTGCTGGTAGCTTTTGGGCAGGGCTCTGTAACTGGAGCCCAGTCTCTTACAGGAAGCATAGTCAATCTCCATGGCGATGCCCTCGGTGGCCCGTTCTTTAGGATAAGATTCGATATGAGACATTTCACGATATCCCAGGAAGTTCTTGAACCAATTAAACAGCTCAGGAAATTTTCTGTAAACCAGATTTAATTTAGTTAAAAGACATAAAACAAAACAGGACAAAAAAAAACTGTGACTTGGAACTGTCAAATCAGAACTCACCCTAAAAATGGCAGCACCAGCTGCACCAGTTCAGCCCTGGAGATTACCTCCTGATTGAAGATGACCAGACATCGCAGGAAGTTGTCATAGGCCTCTGTACTTCGCAAGGCTTTTCGGACCTGTAACACAAAACATTTTTAATGGGCCTAAAATGTGGAAAGCCGCACATTACTTTACACGTTTAAAAGGATTATCAACTCACCTTCTCGAAGAACAGAGATTCTGTGCCTACTCCATGCTTGCTCGCTTCCATGACTGGTGAATCTTTCAGATTAAGTAATTTGGGTTTCTTCTGTGTCAATACCAAATCAACAAATGAGAAAAGAGGTACAATCATGAAGAAACACTTCAACAAAGACAGTGAATGTAGATGATGAGTTAAATGATGTGACTGTGTGTGACCAGAGCTTCAGTGGTGAGACTGTGTACATGTACCTTGACGGGCGGCGTGGTCCCTGGAGTTGGATGACGACGGATCTGACAGCCGTTCTGATTGGGCCTCTGTTTGTTATTGAGCTGCAGCTTTTTGGCAGTGCCACCATGGTCGTTCCGTACAGACTCTACCTTCTCAGCTGTGGTCTTGTTTAACAGCTGTGGGAAATGAACAACACCAGTGAGACTGTGGTGCAACAACATCACAACCTGTTCCTAGAGTTGAACAACTTGATCAAATGTCCAGTTTTAGAGCGGTTTATACAAAAATATATGATCATAATTTGGCTCTTTTAAGGAAGAGAAATGTTAATTTAAATCTGGTTTTTCAAGCCACAGTCATGGGAAGTAACTTTTGCAACAAGTTATAATCTTGCTCCAAGAATTTTCTTCTTTCTCCAGATGTTTTTTTCCAAACTAAAAACATTAAAAAGGAACTGGATTTCAGATGAGACAAGAAGCAGGTTGTGACAAAGAAAGAATTCTCAGATACATCTCTTGTGTTGATGAACTTTGGGTCATGACCGAAAGAACAAGATCCCGGATGCAAGCGGCTGAAATTGGCTTTCTCCACAGGGTGGCAGGGCGCTCCCTTAGAGATAGGGTGAAGAGCTCTGTCACCCGGGAGGAGCTGGGAGTACAGCTGCTGCTCCTCCACATCGAGAGGAGTCAGCTGAGGTGGCTTGGGCATTTACATCATATGCCCCCCTGGACGCCTCCCTCGAGAGATGCTCGGGTCTTGACCCACTGTGAGGAGACCCAGAGGAAGACCCAGGACATGATGCAGCAACTATGTCGCTCGGCTGGCCTGGGAACGCCTCAGGATCCCCCCAGAAGAGCTGGAGGAAGTGTCTGGGAAGAGGGAAGTCTGGGTGTCCCTGCTCAGACTGTTGCCCCCGTGACCCGGCCCCAGATAAGTGGAGAAAAGAGTAAAATATGTCAAACAATATCAACCCTCCTACTGTTATTGTTTTTTCTTACCAGCTGTGCTCAAAATGTCACAAGTCAGAAAGGCAGTTGCAGAGGCAAATAAATAAATAAAGTGGAGTGGGCAGACTTTTTTTCACTGGCTTTAAGCAAAAAACAGGTTAAATTACTTGGTCAAATTTTTGAACGTTCTAACATTGTCATGTGTGTGCTCACCACTGAACTGTTGGCATCAGGAAGAAATTGACCAAATTCTGACAGCAGGTCCTCTTGGTTCTTGAAGAGCCTGGCCACCTGAGCGTAGACCTCCTGTTCTGTCAGAGCTGGTGTGTAGTTTCCTGCCGCCTCCTTTGCGTTACGCTGCTCCTTCTGCAGTGAATGAACAAAAAGGTTATAGTAATGTGGTTGGAGGAAACGTTGCAGACGCCAACACAATTTTAATACTGTGCTTCTAGATTACGTTTGACCCTAAGCATATGCATTCTCTTTCAATTATGTTTGACTGGCAGGACAGTCATTGGTTGACTTCAGGTGTTTCAGACCTGGTAGGTGTGCAGAATCTCAAGGAAGGCTTTGTAAATGTCAGGCTGGCCCTGGAATCGGTTCTTTATCTTGTTGACGTAGTTGATGGCATGGTTGAACTCCACAGGCTGGTTGTTCTGCATGGGCGGACCAGTGGGGGTCCCACTGAGTGGCTGGTGGAGCTGAATGGGTGGGGAGCGGGGAGAAGTGTACGCAGGTATGGACGGATTGCTTTGGCTGCTCTGTGTCAAGGTCTGGGGCTGGAGAGGCTGGAACATGGTAGAAAAGATTAAGACTGTTAAAAGGAAGGAGCAACTGAAACAAGCTTTATTAACGTAAACGTAAAAGTGTCAATACTCTTTAGGTAATGACTACAATTTACAATTTGGTAATTACCACTTCCCACTCTGCATTTGATTCTCACCTTGGACACCTTGGCAGGGGGAGGCTGTGTTAAAACAGGTGGGGTTGTGGTGGTTACTGCAGGTGGGAGCTGTGCCTGGTGTTGGGCAGCTGCCGCTGGTAAGGGCAGGTTTTGGACTGAAATGCCATGCGGGGTGATGTGGTGAATCTGACTGGGCGTTGTCACGTTGACCAAATCGTTAGTTTGGACCTCAATCTTGTAGCCCGGTGGTAGGAAAGTGTTAAAGCCCATGATGAGGTCAGGATGTCCTTTAAACAGCTGTGACACTCGGTTTATGACCCCTGGAGTGTCGATACTGGAAACAGACAAACAGAATTTAAATCCAACTCAGCTGTTACACATGAAATGTGACTCAGATAATAATCTCTTGAAGCTATAAAGTCAGAAGGTTTTTTTTTACTTAAACAATGGAATGAACCTTTTGAACTTTAATTTATTTAAAACAAATGTTTAACTTTGCTGTTCAGTCCAAGACACTGACTGCCACTTTTAAGGCATTTAAATAGTTTTACATAGAGACTATAATATAATAATATAATAACAGCTAAAAGGTTTGGAAAATATTAGAGACCTCTCTACTTTGTCTGCAGTGAACGGACTATTAGGACTATTATATTATATTATAATATTAGGACATTTCTATGCAAATTACAAAAACTGTGTTTTTGCACTGATGAACCTGTGCAACAAACAACCCCCAAGAAAGTCTTTGTAATGACTTATCGTGTTTTCTCTCTAAAAAAGATAGCATCCTCACCTTTGGGACTTGAACTCTTTCATTATATCCAAGAAGTCGTTGTAGACCTGAGGCTGGTTTCCAAACTGCAGCTTCACTTGGTCCAAATAAGACAAAGCATCTTCCACCTTTTAAAGACAAACAGTCAACAGTCAACTATCATAAAAATGCAACAAACTGTACTTTTGACCCTGAAAACAGCTTCTGTATTTGAATCACATTTTGTAGCCACAAAAACCTTTGAGAGTTCAGCAGTAAATAAATAAATTATCATCCAAAGTTTAGAGTACAGCACTTCTTGTACATTTTTTTCTTTTAAAGCCTGGTAAATCTCTCTGTAGTTTCAGAATCTACTCTGCTTTCAGTGGCAGGTTTTATCTAAGCTGACAACTCTGCCAGAATATGAAGGAAAAACCCAATCAGTGCCAAACAAAACCTTCTGATCCTTAATATGAATAAACTTCAACACTGGGATGATTCACTAAAGTCTCAAAATGACAGTAAAAACTGCAGTTGTTTATTTTTCTGGAAGAAAAAGCTTTTAGATTCAAACAACTTAAATAAAGTGGCTCGTAGTCTTTGCTGCAGGAATTTTATTTTTACTGCTAAAAATTATGTACACATAAGTTGTAAGGTATCTGCACAAACAACAGAACATGTGTGTTGTCACATAAAACATTGTTTAAAAATGTTTTTTAAACTTAATTTAATTGTTTTTTTATTAAATGTTTAATTTATCATTCAACAAACCTTGAGCCTTTGGAACTGCTGCTGACCCTGTGCTGAGGCCTGAGGAGCAGCTGAATGACTGTGACCTGACATCACTGAAGCCCCATGAGATTGGACAGAGGGACTGTGGTGGTGGGAACCCCCATGGATGGCTGGACTTGGGGTGTGCCCGTGCCCACCACTGTTCTGGGACACAGTGGGAACCTGGTAAACACAGAGCAATTTATAGTAACAGTAACCGTGTTACATCAGATGAATAAAACAAGATTGATCTCACAGAGTCTGACAGACAGTTTGTAAAGTTTTAAATGTTAGGATATTAGTAGAAGAAAAAGTTAATTATACTGCAATATGTTCTCACAATTACACAAGATAAATATACCTGGTAACCCTGTGGGACGGAGTACTGGACACCTCCTGTGGGCTGCATGTTGTCCGACACGGCCTCATACACTGCCGGGGTGGGAGCAGGGGCCAGGACACGATGCTGAAAAGCCTCTGTGTTGCCAGCGAGGCGCCGCTGCTGGGATGCAAAAACCGTTTCCTGATCCTCCAGTCGGCGCTTCATTATGAACTCATGCTCGTGAGAACTGAGAGACCTGGAAATGAAAACAGTAACAGGTGGATCATACTACACACTAGAAGACCTTTATTTATTTGAGTATTTATCAAACTATCAGATTGGGTTTTTGGATTCATCCACCAAAATGACGATAAGCACTTGGCAAGATTCTATTTGTACTTCAGATGTGAATTTATGGATTTACACAATGCCTGCCAGGGAGCCACTTGCAGCATTTGGCAAAGTAACAAAAGTATTAAGTAGTTTGCAGACTGAAATCAGCTACAACTTTAAATACCATTCAGGTTCAGAAGTTAAATTTGCCATTTCATTTGCAAGGTAAACGAAATAAAAGCTCAGGTTTGCTTAAAAAGATTAATGGCTTTGCTTTTGATTTATCAAAAAGTATGCTGTCTGGCTGATTACAGATTATAAAAATATATAACTTGTAAAAAGATATTGTATGATAGTGATTAAATGTGTATATGTTAACGTGTATAGTGAATGCTTTTAATGGTGATACACAACATAACAATAATTATTAATTATTGTTGCTTTTGTAGATATAACAACATATAAAAATATCACAGTAAGTGACATCAAGGTATTCAAAACTTAATTCTGAATATTTGACCAATCTGTTACGTCTATAGCGCAGTTTCATAAGAAAATTCAGAAAGATACTGGTTGCAAACTCCCTCCCTCACTCCCCCCACTCACACACGCACACAGAACGTCAGCAGCCTTGCAACAAACAGGTGTTGCAGAAACCTGGAAGACCCTTCAAAACTTCCTGCTACCAACAACTGCTACCCACTTCAGCAAACGTTGTTTATAAAGCAAAAAAGTTAACCACAGAACGCGGGGAAAACAGAAGAAAACATACAATTTCTAAAACACCTTGCCGACGAACACAAGTGACACAACGACAATGAAGCTCGGTAAAAACCTTCAAAATTCAGATTCAGCACATTTATTGTATCGCTAGGATAATTCGGTAGTATTTAGACAGATCAGCTTGGCTCGACTTTAAAGTTCTTATAACAGGACAGCTACGACAGTAGCAACTACATGCTAACCACCGCATCCAACCCCCTTTACGGCCTAACGACACAAGCACCGACCTCGAGTTATACGACGCTTGCCCACGACGCCCGCCATTTAGATCGTGGCACTAGAGCGCAGCTAAAAACATACAATTTGATTGATGCAAACTGCGTAAGACGTGGACTCTTCAGCCCGGGTGCATTTCATACGATCAGTTTTTGAACTGTTCACTTGTCCTTCACTTGCAACTTGTTTAATCAGCAGTAGTTATGGGCTGCTAAGTTGTTGCTAGCTAATGTAAACAACATGGGAGCCCGACGACCGTGCAGCGTCCGTGGGCTAGGGGGAAGCACATGCATTCGCAATGGAAGAACTCAGTTGCATTGAAAAAAGAAATTGCGGCTTTCGACTGCTCTTTAGGGGTTCGGGAAGGGTTAATCAGATAGACGTCAGCCTCCTGTGCGCGTTCACACCAGGCGTCTCTCTGAAGATATGAAGGCAGCTCGCTGTTAGCTTGCTGAATGAATTCAGCTCAACTCACCGCCTCTCCTCGAACAACGACCCGAACTTCACCGATGATGCGTGTATTATCCTTAACTGTTGGTTTGCCCACAGTGCCTTGAGGACTAGACTATGTCGCTGAGAAAAACGTAAACTTTTCCGTGATTTAAAGTAAACAATTAGGTCTAAAGAGAGTAGAGTGCAAATCTCCCCGAGAGAGGAAAACAATCTCCCTTCGGTTAGCAGTAAAGGAAGGCGTGGTTTCCTTAACTACACCACCCCTCGTCGAACGCTATTGGTCGAGTCATTCTAGGTATCAACGAAAGGCGGGGCGAGCGAATCAGATTGTGCATTTTAGCTGTCAATCACAGATTAATCGTTCAGTCACCAAGCACGCCCATTTTGACTTGAAGCGCGACAATACCATCACAGACTACAGTTCTATAGTGCATGCTTCAGCTCCAGTTACACTACATACTATAGTGTATATACGGTATTTTTTAACGGCAGACCATATAGCTCATGCTCATTTTTTAAACTTATGCAGTAAGAGGCTGTAGTGTTTTACACTAAACTTTTTAATGTGCCCGTTATGTCCTATATATGTATATATTGGGAGTTTCAACGACACAAAAACTTCAAATACCCTCTTATTTTAATGCAAAAAATACAAGTTTGAAAACGTTTTACTCATTTATATAAATATTCTAAAACGGTGTTCTGTGACACAACAATATTAATATATAAGTTGCAACAGTCAGGTGTTGTGGTGTAACACTGTGTTTGATTGACAGCTAGAACCAACCATAGTTTACACAGTCTAATTAGGCTAAAATTGTATGTAAATCACTTTGTTTCATTCATATGTGTGAACTCCGATGTACATGAGCTCTAATATCTATAACTGTATTTTGAGCATTAGCAAATATGCAAAATGTGTACCATTAATAATAAAACAAATGAATTATATCTGCATCACTAATGAGCCAACAAGAAAACGTGTACAATAACAACGCAGTTAATGTTAATTTTGTTCATACGTACATTTTGCACGTACAATAAATATGTCAAACGGGCTTTGGTGGCACAAAACGTTGTCATCATCTTCTTTTCACACATAGAGCCCTCAAGTTTTAAACCAAGGTGTCATAATTAATAATATGCATAAGCGATTAAACCACCTAAATAATATTGCTAGATGCATCGGCCGTAGGGAAATTGTGGTATTACTTTTTTTAAAAACTTTTTATGTTGTTCAATCAATTGTACACATAGCATTAACTCATTTTCACTTCTTATAATCAACTGCTACCTTGTGTTTGACATGCTTGGTTTATCTTGGCTGCTGTTGCTGGAACATAGCGGTTATCCAGTGTCGCATCTATTAATATTTATTTTTATTTGTTTTCAAGAAAGAGAAAACAAATGTATATTATCAAACGTATCTATTTATGGGAATAGCTCTGCTACAAACAGAAATTTTAGGGTGAAACGATGACGTTCTGCCGAGAAAGTCAACGTAGTCGTTGTTGAAATTTGAAGACACGAGACCTTTAAGATCCGCCTCTAAATCAACTTCCTGGAGTTGTGTGTCACGTGACCATACAAGGGGCGTGTATTTGCGCTCTTTTCCTTATCCTTCCTCTTTGTGGACACTGTGGCCAATCATTGCACGGAACGGTCTTTACAAATCCAGAAAAGGTGGAACTTCCAAAATAAACCATCGCCCACGACAGGCGGAGCTGCAACAGCAGCCCGGGATTCCTCCTGTTTTTCCTGCCAGTACAGTCACTGAGCCTGTAGGCTGCGGCAGCAGTAAACACACACACAAACACACATAGAGTCACAGTCTAACTGCTGGTTTTATTTCAATGTCACTGTGTGCGCATTTTACGCAATAACGAACCGCTTCAAACTACTATACACCACTACGCACTACGTTCTTCGAAACGCGTATCGTCGTAGGTTTCTCTGCTACGTAACAAGTCCTTTTTGTCCGAGTTGTGTACACAATCATGTAGAACAGTGCCGTAGAGGAGCTCACTCCACTCAAGTGCACGGTGGTAGGAGGGTCAACTGGCCCTGTCCGCGTCAGCCTCGATCGACGTGGGTGTTTGCATGCCGTCAAACAAAAGGCTTCACGGTGGCATTAAACGCCTCCTCTGCCAACCGAGGCGTTGCGCTACGGTAGCGCATGTGGACACGGGTAAAGTAAGGCCCGTGTGGCTCAAGTTGCATATTTTCTTAGTGGCAAGAGCCGAGTCAAATGCCCTGACTGAACAATGCCAAAGTCACACGAAACGGGAAATAGAAACGGACACAGCATAGCTGCGCGGAAACCTCGGTGGATCAGCGTCGTTCTCATCTGCCCTTTTCAAACAACTCGGCACCATGTTTCCCTGAAAACATGCGAGGATCAGGACACGTCCCCCTCAAATCCCATTCTTTGTTTACTTCAACAGTCTGGGAGTAAAATGTCTAACCTGCCTCACCACAACAACTCCCTCCCCCTAACGATCCATTTGCAAACAAGCGTTACATGCTCACACTGTCCGTGCACACTCACTGACTTCCAGACAGAGGACTTGTACGGATTACCAGCGCACACTGATTTATTATTTGTTTTAAATATAACCAGACACAATAACGACTTGCACGTTTATACACCTCTGTCTCCACGTTATGTTTTCCCTGCAGTTCTCTTGTCGTTTACGAGCAGCAAAAGCAACCCGATAGATGGGTCTAAGCGCACAAAAGGCATCAATAGCCACAAATCACTTCAAACCTTAGTAATAAACATCATTAACTTGTCATCGCCCCGAGGCCAAAATAAATAATTTAGTTTAAGCAGCTGTTACATACCCCAAGAAAAAGACTCCACACTCCGGATTCGTGTTTGTAACAAAATAGTTGGAGACGCCCCCCTCAGCTGGTATTGGCGCACACTGCAGTTCACGTCATTTTACTTTGAATATAACCCGCTAAAACCAGTTGAAAGTGCTCTAGCAGTACATTGAGAACATCACTGATTTGATCCTCAGTCGTAACCGAATGTCCTTCCATTTGGAGTTTCCCTGTTTGAACGCGGATTTCCTCCAGGTACCATAGTATTACCCCACTGTCCAAAATATCTGGGTTAGGGAATCAGGTTAATTGGACATGGTTGACCATGGATGTGAATGGTTGTTGTGCTGAGGTATAGTCTGCCTGGTGACTGCTGCGATTGGATCCATCTCTCCTCATGATCATAAAAACGATTCATCAGTAGAAGATGAATGAATGACTGCTTCCATCACAATTCCCCAACTGTGAATGACCAATTGTCATGAAGACAGGCTTCACTGAATGACTAGGACTGTATATAGGCCTAAGAAAGAGGAGGCACTTTCTCACTTCCATATGATTTCAGCTAACATTTTCCTGGCATCCTTTTAAAATGTTTTAGGCCTTTGTAGATAGATAGATAGAACGTTATTAACTATTATAGACAACTTTATTGTCTATAATAGACCGTTTATGGTAATTCCATTTTAAATAAAATAATATATAATAACAATATACAAGAAAGTATTTAAGTTTTTCTTTATGATTAATTAACCACTAGATTGTCCAGTAGGAGTCTGGTAATATCAGTGACTTTCACTGATGACATGACGATGTTCATATTGCTTTGGACTCAACATCACGTCATTGTGTAATATAAACTAGTTACTAAAAAACTGCCGGGGGTTAATGAGTGGGTTTGTGCTTGATCTCAGAGGAGTTAGGACCTGATGTGACCTGACGACGGTGTTAAAATGCTCCAACACTAGATGTGCATTCAGGTCTTGAGTAAGGGTTATAGATAACTGTCCATTAATAAACCATCTATAATTATTTATGGTCTTGGGTCAGAACAGTTTTTCAGAGAACTGTCAACATATAAAATCTGTTATGAAAAAAATACAATGCTGTTTATAGCTTACTACAAATATACTTATAAAACTACAACTACTTTTTGGGGTCACACATTTTCACCAGTTCCTATTAAGTGTTTGATTGATTTGCAATTTGGCCTACGTGGAACCTACAAACGTTTCTTTTTTTGCCATCCTTGTTTTTTCCATCGCCTTTTGGAAACAAATGTCTGTAGTCAGTGGTCCCTGGTCAGATCCAGTCCAAAATTTGACAAAAAAAAACAAAGACTTTGAAGTCACGTTGGTTCTGTTCCCTTCACACATTTGTAGATTTGTGTCTTTGCCGCTCACGTGCTAACAGCGTTTTGTGCTAACTAGCCATGCTGAGTGACACCAACTAGTGTAGACTGGTGCAAACTTTGCCAAAAAGAGAATTTTAGGTTAAACAAAATCACACAAAACTATTTTCTTTTTTTTGGACTCAGCCCAAGTGTTTGTGGCAGATATCTGAAATTAAATCCATGTTTTCTGGTTGGATGACAACTTCCTCTGTTGTTGCCAAAAAAAAGAAAAGAAAAAAGAATAAAAATAAAGACACAAATGACATGCATACACACGGACATGGTTTGTTTTTAATACAGTATAGCTTGGTTCATATCCATACAAATGATAAAGTAATAGGTTATAACATAACAAATATAAAATTAACGCAGATAACTGTATAATCCTGGCTAATTGTATGAAAACTGTTGTTGAATACAATAGAAAAATAAAACGGGGCACATTTTGCATCTGTCACAAAAAAGAAACATAGATTTAAAATCAAGAGTGCATACGGATGGCAGATTTAAAAAATGCTTCACTACAAGCAAATTCAATATGAATTCTGTAGTAAAGGACACATTTTTTTTACCCAGCAACAACATAATGCAACATATGACACACATACACCTACACACACGCGCACATGCTCAGTACTCGTAGACATACTCTATGTATATTTATGGCAAGACACGGACCAGATGAAGGCACTGATTACCACCGCAGTCTGGTCAGCTTGAAGTAGCACGATAGTAAAAGCTAAAATATAACTGACACTATTTTTGACTCAAGTGCCCATGAAAGACTGTTGGGAGTACAAACACATATTTGTGCATATTTTACTCTATCACTGACTTCCTTTCTCCCTAAGAAGTCCTCTTAATTCCTCTAAATAAAGGTCTTTGCAGATGTTTACAGTGAATCCGAGTGTGTCTGTGTGGTGTGTGTGTGTTACTAGATATTTCATATTTAAGCATTATTACATTGAACAACAATCAAGTTATCCCAGCACTGGTGTATATCTATACAGAATTGCTAATTTAAGCATTAAGTTCTGTCATTCCATCCTGCACAGCCCTCTGTATCGACTCCTCTCTAAGCACACTGTGAAATATACATCATAAACAAACAGACTAATGAGCACAACCTTGATTATTTCATCTAATGTCCCTGACCACAGGCACTGGAGTAGTGGGTTTACTCTGAGATATGTTCAGCAGAAAACAAATGGAAGAAGAAGTCACATTGTTGGCGGACAGAATGTTGTCACAGTGAAGCATCATGATGTCAGCGTCACAGACATTTATTTGCAGCTCATGTCTTGGTCTGCCAACGAAGAATGGCCTAGTTTTTAAATAACACAGCTTCCTTCCTGACTTTACTAATTGGTCACGTAACACGGCTCTGGGTTAACAGACTGACCACAGAAATCTTGGAGTGGGTGGGTTTGCTAGGGCGGAAGCTCACTGATTGGCTGGGAGCAGGCCCTGTCTCTGGGCGTGCTCCAAGATGGCATTGTAGCAGAAGTGGTACTGGTCCGGCGTTTGGATGCTGAAGGCTCGCTGTGTTCGCATGCGCCGCACCGTCTGGCAAATGTTTAGCGAGCCTACATCCTGGAGCTGAGAGAGACAAATGTCCAGGGCACAGAAGGTACCTGTGGAAGACAGATATGTTCAAGAGATTGACAACATTCAATTAATTAAATTTAATGTCCCAATAATAATATTTTAAGCTACTAAAAAGACTCTTTAACATTCCCACCTGTTCTCCCAATCCCTGCACTGCAGTGGACCACCACAGGGGGTCCCAGTTGGTGGCCGGTCCACTGTGCACCCAGAGACTTTACCATTTTCTTCTGTTGTCTCTTCACAGCTCCCAGGAAGTCCACGAGGGTGACAGCAGAGGTGGGAACGCCGTAATCAGGCCAGCTGAGGTACTGGAAATGACTCACCTGTCTCTGTTCACAAGTCTGTGTGGATGAAGAAGAAGAGAAGTGTACTAGTGACCACTCTGATGTACTGCATCCATAACAGTCTGTATTATCATACAGTCATCAAAAGCAGTATGAAGGTGGAAAGAATTAAGAATTGGTGATGAAACCTTAGTGAAGGGTTTAAATGAACGACACTCACTCTCCGGTCATTCAGCGTGTGCCTTTCTCTGCGGTCACCTTAGTGGTAGTCTGTATGGTGGGCTTGGCAGATTGCTCTCTTTAATTTTCGCATGATAATTAGCATGTTTTGTCAATTGCCATACTTCTCATTTATTTTCGCTTTCAATTCTTCCCACTTGTTTAGATTTTTGGTTGTTTTTTAACCGTTTTTTATAGTGTTTTAACAATATTCTTGTCTAGTCTATTTATTATTCTAGTCTAGAGTTTATTTATTAATATCCAGGTCCTTAAAACTGCAAACTTACACCATTTCCTGTTTAGCATGTATGGCCTGACAACAATAATAATAAAAAATAATCACTAAATCCTTTTTAGTAATGCAACTCAATCTCGAACCCTCAAACCCAATCTCAGACCTTTTGGTAGCAGGCCCGAGCCACACCACTGCACTCCACTCCACTCTAGTCTAGTACCAAAATACTCAAACTCGTACATTTGTTTTAAAACCACTGACAACAGTTGAACAACTGCCAATTCGAAGCTCTAAATCTCCTGGACATAGAAACAGCTCCAGCAGAGACTGTATCTCAGTGTGTGCCAGTCATTGGCAAACAGGAGGAGTTGAAATACTGAATGAACTGCATCGTGTCCTTTTACCTCAGTGTTGTGCAGCTCCAGGTTTGTGTGGTTGTAGTGGCTGTGGTGGTCCACCCTTTGGTTCACCACTGCCATGTGGCCGTAGACCTCCTGTCCACCTTCCTCCAACGGCCAGTACTGTCCACATTTTCTGCGAGTGCCCTCGTCTGTCCTGCAGTGCAGAGACGTCAACGTATGTGATGAGGTAAATACTTGTATAACAGTAGTAAGTTTAATTAACAAGATGTCTCAACATCTTGTAAAATACTGTAACAAAACTATTACCATTGAACAAAGCATTTCAAATTACAAATCAATGACAATTGCCTGCTGTGGAACGATTAATGATAAAATTGAAACTGAAATTTATCTAGTTTGCTGTCTCCCGTGCAATAGCTCCATGCCATCTAAGAGTGGCTCAACCCCCACTTTGGGACTCTATGACAGCGATGGTAGGACAGTCACTAAAATACTCATGAATATGGCGTTCTGGTGCAACTATAATTTAAGTAATAAAAGAAAACTCATACAAGTCACGTGGTTTGGACTTCGTATTAAATTTCCATTTACACATTAATAAATAACTGACAGGTATTTACTGGGAGAAACAACACAATCGTCTCCTTTGTGTGTGTTGAATTTCAGAGTATATCAGTAAAAGGTAGAATGGAACTTATTAAATGTATTTAACTACTTAAGCTAGCTCAGTTTATTGCTAGCATGTCTGCTAACCTGGTAGTCATGACAATGACAAGCACGTTTTGCTCCCAGACCATTCTCCAGAAATCACTGTAAGTCTTTTCCAATGGTCCTTCAAAGAGAAGAAGAAGACATAGATTATTATAGTATTAACTTCTGTGTGATATCAGTGGGTTCAAATACAGTATGAACAGTATGTGACATACCCTGTGTACCAATGTAGGCGTTCTTCTGTCTGTAGCCGTCCATGAAGCTGGCATTGATGTAGTCGGATCTCTGAAGGAATAATAATAATAAAAAGTTTTATGTACTAACTGAAGGAAGGGATTCTTGCAGAGATACAGTAGTTTGGCTCCGTTGTCCACAAGGGGCAGTAGGAGCCTTATATCATTTATATGGCATAAAAGCATAAGAATCAAAGCACTTTGTCTAAACATTGTCCTCAGACTGGCTGCCTGTAAACACATTCAACTTTAGCATATATATATATATATATATATATATATATACACACAAATAACACACACATATATCACACTGACCTCATTTCTTCTGGGTTTCAAGCGAACTCTGGTTTGATCAAGGCACAGCACGTCACCGTAACGATTCTTCTCCTGATTAAAAACTGCTCTGTGAACAAAATGAACAAAAGGATTTCTAGCCAGCACACAGTGACCCACATAATCAACAGTTGGTTGACACATCTGAAGGTGTTTGAAGATGCAACTACTGCAGTTCAGTTCAGGCTGAGGTACATGTTCAGAAGTTAGATGATTATCATGGTTTAGGCTCAGCACATATGGCATCAAAATATGAGGGGGCGGGAGGGTCACAAAGTTCTACACAATTTATTTACAAAATTAATTACTATATTTATCTAGCTTTTCTCCATTTAAATCGAATCATACACATACGAAAATAGCATTTTAGTGAGGTATTTTCTTTGTTGAAAATTGTATGGGGTGTCCTTCACATTTGGTCAGAACCTGCTTGTTTCTCTCTTTTAAAGATTGAAATATTATTTCACCTTTAGAAAAAAGATTAAAATGCAACAATATTGAAAATGTGTCTTTTAGGTAGCCTAGAGATCCTATCTTCATATCTTCCAGTATCCTCCTCTTTTCCTCCTGCCTAGCAGCTCCATCACCAACAGCCTTTTTCAAATGTATCTCCATCTGTTCTTAGCACATGTCCAAAACACCTTAACCTTGTCTCCAATCTGTTTAATCTGTTCCCTCCACTGGTGAGTTCTTCAAATTAAACCTTCAGCCCTTTTATCCTCACTTCCTCTGGTTCAGCCTCCTGTCGTGAAGACAGTGCTGGTGTCTCCACAGTCTCACTGCCTGGTGGACTTGTTTGTTTCACTCTTTGTCTCACCCTGCACATCTGAGCCTTGTGTTCTAACCTTTCCACCTTCACTATTCAAACTATACAATTCTTACGAACACATGTCTGATCGCCAAGACAAAAAACAGTTTCCAAATAAAAGTCAACTCACTGTGAACAGCGGAAGGTTCCAGACGGCGGTTCTTTGCGGAGCTCCTCATACTCCTGATGGATTCCTGTGCGCTGAAGCCTGCCAAGATGTGCCAGCAGCTCCTGCGGTCTCATGGACTCAGATCCAGGGATGTGTATGGAGCTTTCCTCCAGAGGCACCGCCACCAGTTCATCCACGGGGTCCACTTTACCATTCTGACCGGCCAACAGCTGCTGGTTCCAGTTGTAGGCGTCTAGTGGCAACAGACCACCAAGGTGCTGGGGGAGACAGTCTCTGGGGAGGTGCTGACACAGCTCGGCCATTTTAACCATCTGAACCTGGTGTTAAAAAACATGTATTTTAATGAGATAAATTGGAGAAATAATTTATTAATGATGATGAGGACACAATACACAATTTCAACTGAACTATATTCAACTGCCGTCACCCAGACACAGATTGTTTAAACTTTAATAACATGAAGCTAAGGGAAAACAATCATTATCATCTTCATCATCTCACCCTCTCCCTCAGCTTCTCTTTCAGCAGCAGGCTGAGCAGATTGTAGGGCACTCTGAACCAAACGGGAGCGCCAACGATCAACACTTTCTTCAGCCTGGCAGGGAACGCCCCCTGGTGGAGAGATACAGCACAACTTCAGAAACACACTACTGTATTTCAACTTCCGGTCGTTAAGTTCGGCATTTACGGTCAATAGAGGAAAAAAAAATGTTATATTGAGATAATATTGCATGGCATTTTTGACTACGTCATCGTCCAAACAATTAACCACAAGCGGAATTATATTTAACAAGACATGTTTTCTTACCTTTAGCAGGTTGAGGATTTTTTTGCTCAGGTCCAGCTCAAAGTTAGTGTAGTTGGAACCAGCCATGTCATAGATGAAGACCAAACCATTCCTCTGGGTCTCAAAGCTACACAAACATCAACACTTTTATATGTTAGAATCCTCTACTGTTACTGACTTTATACTGGCAGATGGAAGATTCCTAATGTCAGTTCTATTAATAATATGACAATCTATTTTGCTCCAAAGTTTTACAATGCAACTAGATGACATGTATGATTGTTTTAATGGATATCTTTATTAGATAATTCTAGAAGTTTTAGTTAATGTTCTTTATATTGATAGACATACATTATTGTGTGTGTGAAATCTAATTATGATTTTTAAAGGAAACCTGCTTCGCACACGTAGAATTGGGCATTTCTGTTTTATGGTTATTTAATTTTTTTACACTAATTTTCACAGTTCTAACAATCTAGTAGATTTATTTCACTGCAATCGTTTTAAAGTTTCAATATAATGGATTATCTTTTAATGCTACGTAGTTTATTGCGAGACATTACGCAACGTCAGTGAATGAACGTGCAGGATGACAAACCCAGTGATGACTTACACAGGCAGGACTTCCTGTGATATTAATAAATTAAAAATTGATGCCGTGCGTGGGGAGCAGAGACGTCACTGAGTTATACAGACTGCACATTTGTGCAAAGTAGATGGACGAGGTTAGTGAGTTATACAGACTGGACATTTGTGCAAAGTAGATGGACGAGGTTAAATATAGGGTGACAGTCGATTATACCTTTCCACTGCCCGATCCAGGAGGTAGAAAAGCGCCTGAAGAACCACATGGTTGCCCGTTTTGTTGGGGTGGTGGAGTTTGGCTGTGTACAAAGCAATGGAAGCCCCTGAAGGGTCTCTTACACTCTGGAAACACACGACAAAAAAAAAAAAAAAAAAAAAGAGGCTGGGAAGAGCAGGTGATGACGGTTTTTTAAAAAAATTGTCGATGTTGGACTAATTTCAGAAAAACACACGTGTTCTCTGTTTTTGCATGGAAAATAGATGTAAAATGGAAGCTGCTCGCGGAGAGACGTATTGACCGATGGCCACTAGAGGGCACTGGAGTTCACATACTGCTTATTGGCAAAATGCCAAAGGGGGTCTGTCAACAAGTCAGCAGGAGGAACAATTCTTGTCAGTACTGATGCTGCATGTTTTCTTTCTTCCTAAAAGAGGCTGTAACACATGTTTCACGTCAGACCTAAATGTGTTTGGAAGCTGCCTACGTCAGGAAATATAAAGGGTCCTCATTTGAAAGCCAGTGCTAACTAGAGAAATTATTACCTGGCCCTTTATGAGCAAAGGAGACTGTATTAGTGAGGATGCACGGCTTAAAATAGCTCAGACAGGATATGAAGCTCACTGCTGAGGCTGGGAAAACGCAGACGTCAGACAAGAGGATATTCAACATCAATGCCACTGTGGCACGTCAATAAGGAAGGAAGAAGGGAAGCGCAGGAGAGTGGGAGTCAGCTGTATGGTTGTGATTTGGCTGACAAAAGGCTTAATTTAACCAGCACAGGAATGTGTCTTGGACTGAAGATCAAACGCAGCTCCTGATTGGGCGTTTGTGCTCAAATAAATACCACAAATCGTCCTGTCAGGGAACAGTTAAGATCAATACACAACATGACTGTAACCCATTGAGGTTTAAGTTTAGGCCAGATGAAAGCTTAATGTCTTTCAAATGGATAAATGGCGTCTCAAGGGAAAGTCAACAGAAGACCAAAAGTTCAAGTTTAGTGTCTGCGTGTTTCCCGTTCCAGTCTGAGTGATTGTTTGCAGATACAGTAATACTGAGAGCTCGGCTAATTCAAAAAAGATAACAAGACTATTGTGGTGGTCTGTAGGAAGAGGAAAAAAATAAGTTACACAAACTAATAACTGAACAACAGCTGAATGTGGGATGTGGGTCAGCGAAGACACTCGAGGATAAAGTCCATGTTATTCTTCCTGTCAACAAATCCATGACAAGACAAAACCAACAGTCTGTCTTCCATTATCTGACATCAGCAGCATGTCTCAAGACACTCAAACACAGCCACACTGATTCCTACTGAGGATGTGAAAACAGCAATAAATATACACAACAGTTTCCAGTGGGTATGTTTCAAAATCAGCAACAAATGTCATCTTTTTAAACACATAAAATCAATTGAAATTTGTTCTTTGTTCTCAACAACAAATGTACTGTATATCTGTGTTATCATTGGCTAAGACAATTAGAATTATTGCATCTACCATGCGTGTATTTGTGTAGTCTGTTAATATCCAGATTTGGAAAGAAATATCCTTAAAATACATAGTTAATGGAGCTTAAAATACTTGAGTGTAATATTTATGTATCTTCTGACTGACCGAAAAAACTAAAATAAATCTGTGTAATTTACTATTTAGAGGATGATTTTTTATTTGCTCAAAATAAACACGTTAGCCAGAAATGAGAGAAGCTAAAAGTTAACCAGACAAAAGCTAAACATTGGTCAGACAAAAGATACAGATTAACAAGACATGCAAAAATGTAAAAACTGCTCTCAAAAAGGCGTTTTACCACTTGAATTTCATACTGTAACACATCTTACAAAATGTTAAAATGTATTTTTATGCTAAATTGTACATGTACAGCACAATTTAATTTATTATGCCAATTATTAAAAAGTTAGCAAAAACAGGCTAAGGTTAGTGTTGTTGATCTGTTGCAAAGGATACATAAGAATAACCAAAAATAAATATACAGCATATGAGCCCACAAACAGCAAAAGCTATGAATACATTTATAAAAATTTGGTTTAAAAAAAATTATATAGCTAACAATATAGCAGAAATAGCTATACTGTATATAGTATTTATAATGTATAATAATATATATAATATATTGTATTTATAAAAACTGCTAAAAGTAGCTAAAATGCTCCTAATAATCTATTAATAAAAAATAGCAAAGACTTATTCAAAAGCCGACCACAACACTGTATTTGTACAATATGAATTTTCTTTGTTTGGAGAGGCAGGTGAAGAGTCTGAAAGATGTTTGTTCTACATGAAAACACAAAGGACTCGACGTGGGCGTCACAAACCTAGAAGACACTCACCAGCACAGTAAACTTTCCACTGAGCAGCTCTGAGCGCAGCGGCTCCTCGTGAGGCTGCAGTCTGACAATTCCTTCTTTCAGGCGTGTTTCCTGGTGAGAACAGATGACAGCGTGTAACAGAGCGTCACTTTGACGTGAATTCTTTTCTGTGAACAATAGGATTTATGAGACTGACTTTCCTGTGGAGAGAAAACCCTCACTACACGCTTCACATTCCTTTTCCATCTCCTGAAGATGCTGTGTGGGAGTTTCTTGGACCTACACTCAGGCCCAACCCTGTCATGTTTGATTTACTCGTGTCAATACAACAATCGGGGTCACACAGTGCGAGTGCGGTTGCCTTACAGCAAGAAGAACACAGGTTCGTGCCCTGATAGCATGGAGTTTCTCCAAAAACTGAAGACAGAGGATTTAGTTAATCATTTCTAAAATGATACAAAAGTGGATCATCGAAAACCAGTTAAGGCACCAACTTAGATGTATTAAAAATGTGCAGATCTCAGGGCAGCCATTACCAACCATGGGTGCTGGTACCAGACCAGTGGTGCCGTCTGCGGGAAGTTTATGAATATTACATGCCAAGTCCTGAAAAACAGAAATGTTGTCTGTCCTCATACAGGTCTACAGTGTTAGGGAGGAGGTCTACGGCACCAAGACCATCTGAGAATTCTTAACAAAAGTTTTCCTGGAAACTTTCCCCCTGAATTTGTTTAGACAGATTACTTTGTCGGAGTCTCTGTTCCTGCTGCCGACACAGCACTGAATTGTGTTAAATCAACTGCGGAACAAGGAGTTTGTTTCATCCTCCTCAAAGGCAAGGTCAGGGCCATTTTGATGCAGGCCACCGTTCACAGTCGGAATAAAACTAACCTTGGTTGCTGGAAAAAACCTGAGTCTGAAAACCACAGTTGGTAAAAGTTCTGCTCCATTCAGGTAATTAGACTTAGAAACTTTCCATTTGCTGCAGCGCACGAGCTGCTGCAGATCTGAGCAGATAAATCTAATTTGGGAGTTTTAAATTTGGCTTGAATTAAGTTTATAGCCCTATAGACCATTTGGGGCTAAAAATGAGGCTCCTCTGCTGGTAGTCATTACGTGGCTTGGAGGAGAAGGCCTCGGTTATGTTATTATCTGGATGCTATTTTCGGATCTCGCGGTGAGTGGGACCTGTATTTGATCTGCCTTTGCAGGTTTCATTCTGTTCATCAATTTCCTGTTTGATGCTTATAATTTCACAGAGGTCATAAATGGAAACTCACTGCAGTCACTTTATTTAATTACCCGCTGGTCTCAGTGAGTAAGAGGCTGTATTAGAAATAGATATAGCCGTCCGGTTTTATAACAGGCACCAGGGGTGACTCAGCTGGCTGCAGAAAGGATAGAAGTTAATGGGAATATCAGTGTTGGGGAGGAGTCTCTGGTCGTAAGAACACCATGTTGATTCCGTATCCCATAAAGAGCTGAACAGACAATTATATGCGCTCTGAATTGTGGACTTAAATGGAAACCGTGACTAATTAATGAAGTAATAATAATAATAATAATAATTATGCCCACTTTGCAACACGGACCTTGCCAAAAGAGAGTGTTTGGTGCCGAGCTCCAATCTCTCTGCATACACCTGGTCGCTGCCTCTTGAAAGATGAATCTCCAGTGGTTTAATTAGGTTTGTTGTTATGGTGTGTGCAAGTTGGAGCGTGCATGTGTTTGGCTTCAGGTCTGTGACTCATCCGCTCTGCAGATCTCTCACTTGGCTAGACCTCAGTAAAAGAATGGTCTTTGTGCAGCTGTGCCCTGGGTGTGGTGAAGATGCTCAATGTTGTCTTTATCAAGATCGACCTGCAGGTGCACGATGATCTCCTGTTCCCTTTCTTGTTTAGACAAATTCCCCAGTCAATGTTTAACACGGCATTTGAAATAAATATGTCATGAACAAGCTGCAATCTGTATCTGTAATAAAACACATGTACAGTTTAGGTTCTTTAAAACTAGTGTGATGTTCCTAACTTTAGATCCTGCACTGAAGCACACAGCAGGAGCTGGGGATGAGTCACTTCATCTAAACTGTGGTGAAGCACAGAGAACTCAAGGTTTTGGTAGCTTTGGTAACACACCAAGAGTTTGTGCTTGGGGTGAGAGCAGCCTATATTTAAAGTCAAGCCACCCTGGGTCGTTTTATTAATACATTTTTTTGTGTATTTTCTAGCCTATAAGTCACACTGTTTTAATTAGTTCGGCTAATCCTGCATCTTATATTCTGTATAAGTATATATAAAACAAAATCCCATATCATCTGCACACACAAGAGGGCAATGTTGCCATTCGTGACAATTAAAAATGAAAAATTAGACATCTACAGTATAGACAAATTTACACATTTTTATCCTAAGATTAAGATTAAGAATCAGGTATGATCTGAACAAAAGTTTTAAATTGAAACTTGTCTTTTATCTCCGTCCCCTGATGCTTTGAAAGTGCGGCCCTAGCTGACAACGGAGACGGCCTGCCTGCAGCCCACGACCCAGATGTTTTTCTTAAGAAGTGTCTTCTGCAGTTTAATGTTGTTAAGAATACTTAACTAAATGTAAATGAAAATAAAAACCCTTTATATGTTGACCTGGAGGTGATGCCAGAGGGATTATGGGTAATTAAAAAGCAGTCTATATTTCTCCTTCACGTGTCAGTGCAGCAAAATGTGTTTAATGTTCTTTACCCTGTAGCTGTGGAACAGCTCGATCGCTCGGAGTACGTCGAACTTGCGAGCCATGAGGAACTTAACAGCCAACTCTCTGGACAGCGGGGACACGCCATGCTGACTTGTCCACTTGTTTATTTCCTCCAGAAACTGTCTTGTGGCCTGAAAAAGACACATACAAGAGGCCACAATTAAGTCAAACAGGAAGGAAGTGAAACTTGATATACTGTATCCTCAGGGCAAGAGTCACCTACAGCCTCACACAGCTGACTGTGACGCACGGGTATGAACAGGTAAATGAGGCTGTGTGTGCACAGTATATACAAACACAACTCCAATTTCCTAAATAAAAAGATTTGGAAAAACATAGGAGCCACATCAACATAAAGTCCAAAAAAACAAAACAGAACTGTAACGACTCAGGCGAACGGTAACATGCTGTTGAATTCTGCAAACTTGAAGCGTGCGAGGGAAGATGGAATCCTGCGGAACTGGAGTCTGTGACATGACTGTGAAGTGCAGTAATGACAGAGTAACTTTTGGCAGCAGTTGACAAAGCCAGTTTTACACGTATTTGCCAAAGACTGACAATATAAATTAACACAACACTGACGGAACACGTTTTCGTTGACCTACTCTTGGTCCTGAACAATCACTGAACCAAACTGTTGACATATTTCACATGGGACTGAAAAATGCTGAGTTGTTCATTTCAAAATCTAAACCCAACCATGAAAAACTAAAGAGGAAGAATGCAGCAGTTGGAGACAACAAAACACCATTATGAATGACAAAATAAGAACTTTGTTTAAAGTTAAAAAAGGTCTAAAATTCATAGAGAGAAATATATTTTTAGGTTTTATTATTGTATATTATATTTATTTTAGAAGAAATGAAAACAAGAAGAATACATTTTATATTATCCCAGAACAATAACAATATGAATTCACATCTTTAGGCGGCCATGTTGAATCACTATGTGTTTTTTTTTTTACTTTCTTCAATGGCAAATACACACACAGAAAGTAACAGAGTAACAGAAAAGTAACAAAAACTAACAGATTGAACTACATGTCCACCCACATGTTTGAAAAGGTCAGGTTACAAATATTCAACCACAACATCACTACAAAATATGAATGTGAATTTAAAGTGTTAATCTAATCCTCAATCGTGATGTTCTTTGACAGTAGATACCAAAGAAAACCCACGCACACACTGGCTAAACATGCAAACTATATAAACAGACCAGCAGTCACTACTGGGAATCAAACCAGTGATCCACAGGCAGTAAGCACTTTACCACTACGTGCCTTCCCCCCCCGCCATTCACTACATCTGTATTTGAAAAAAAAAAAAGTGTTTTCCATAATGCTTTCCAGCATCTTGCAAATAACTTGCATTTCTCCAGGACTCCTCCCCGAGCTTCCTGTCCTCCCCTCTGCTCCTATTTTACACTGTCCCTCAGGTCACCACCCCCCACCGCCTGCTGCACCAGCAGAACAGGCAGCAGCACCCAGTGAATCCTCAAAAGGCAACACAAGACTCGATGAAAGCTCACGCTTTAAAAACACAGGGTTCCGCTTCTCTGGTTCAGACAAAGCAGTCGCGGGGTGTGCATAGGAGACAGGAAGTCAAGTTTCGGGGATTCGCCGGCTCTTTAGGAATACAAAACGATCACTGACGAGCACCGAGCCTGAAGACAGACTGCCACTGTCTCCTCTCAGGAAAGCCAGGGCTTTCACAGACAGGAGGGAGGATTGGAGGGGGGTGGGGGAAGAGGGGGGTTGACTGCAGCTTCTGCTCAGTTTGAATGGTTTAGAATTCAAGGGATGTGGGAGAGCTGCACCTGACAATTTTTAAATAGTCTATTTATGTTGTGCTATTCTTGTCCTGATGTTCACTGTAAGGCCTGTTCACTGCAACACTTCACAGTCACAGCCACATTCAACACCTCTGTGTATAATAGACGTTGCCCTTGCTCTGCGCCCTGTGCCTTTTTTCTTTAATGCACTGCATACTGATAGCCCTGGGGTTAGAGTCAGACCAGGAAGTCAGCGCCACTGCAGCTGAACAGCACATTTGAAATTCCTCTCCTACAGCCTGCTATAGAATCAGAATCACCACCAAATCCCTCCCAGCAGCTTAGGTGTGCAAATTATATGTTTGCCCCTTTTTTTAACGACAATGCTTGTGTGGCTTTGTAAACTGATCAGGTGCACACTGCACGCGTCAGCATCATCTGAGCTCTGTCTGTGTAGTAAACACCACATATTAGTTGCACTAAAATATTAGGTTTGGTTGGCAGCATACAGAGGATATTGGTCCACTTTTGCCTTTTGGGGTTGAATGAGTAAACCACCAAAACAACACAGATGTGAAAATGACACTCAATACAGACTTTACAACTACGATTAATTGATATGTTGAAAAGCGTCCGAGGACTAAGACAGGCCTTGTCTAACAAATGCCCTAAAGCAGGAAGTCTGGAGAGCCTCTCCATTCATGAGTGACCTAATAAACATTATTTCAGTTGTGAAAAAACAGAAACTTTAATGTTGTGCCAGAGGCTCCATTTTGCTATTGATGAGTTTTGTTTTTTTTTTGCTGTCAAACAAGCTGTGGATGACTCGTGACTAATCATGACAATAAATAATTGCAACTAATCGTGATTAATAGAGACAATACATAACCACGATTATTCATGCAATACATAAATACGATTAATCACGATTAATCATGGCAATACATAATGATGATTTGTCATAACTATTCATGATTAATGACCATACATAAATAAAATTAATCATGATTAATTATGACATAATTACAGTCAATCGTGATTATCTAAGATAAATCAACTTTTTTTTTGCATACTACTGGAACAGCTTTTTTTTTTTTACATCTGCTCCTAAAAAACGAATCAGTGATCTTTCATTTTAAATCAGCATTATCTCTAGACATTCTGAACCAACATGGGGTTCAGTGGTGCATTCTTTAAGTGCCTCTCACATTTTGCCCTTAAACCAAGCCTTGGTCCATTATATCAACAGGAGCTGGCCTTTGTGTGAGCTCGAGAACCAGTGATGAACTAACGTGGCCTCAGTTGACGGCGAGAACCAGACCTGGAGCCAGTAAAGAGCTGGACAGAGATCAAGGAAGCTATTCACATTTCATCTCCTACAGAGTTGTGCACAGACATAGGTCGTGATCTCCATAAAAACAACCTCTTATCCCATGACTGATGCTGAAGACTGGGGTCACATGATAAGATCTAGCCAGCTGCTTCCACTGAAAGACTGTTGTATTTAGTAAAAGCCACCTAGAGCCTAAAGGATAGATAAATATTTACCAGTCCACTTCTGATTTTACCGGGGGTTTTCATTATAAACCCTTTATAATTTAAACACCTAGTTCTGGCTCCAAATGGCTGACAAGAAATATAAATAGAGTGAGAGTTCCATGCAACTACAGAATCAATCTGGACCCAGCCCAGAGTCTCATTTCCCATCCATCTTCATTTCCTCTTTTTCTCTCGTGTCAAGCTGCGTGAGACATTAAAAGCAAGTGTTTTTGGCCTTTTAATGGACAGTTGATGTTACTTTATACTGTTTGTTAGGATGGTAAATTGATGTTGTTGACATTAACAGCCAATCACTCATTGATCCTCTGCATTTGGCAGCTTTTGCGGTGAGACCCAAAGGGATGACATGATATAAGTCAAGTCCTGTCCATGAATATAGACTTCAATTTTCTTCAGATTTAACTGTTTATCCACAAACAAAAAAAACCCTATTGAAACTAATTGGATTTCGTACACTATGTTTGTGAACAAAGAGGACTGTGTTTGGGTTTCTGAGGTCACACCGTGTGCTGTTTTTTTCTTCCGTTTGATGGTCGCTTGCGGTTAAACATTTCCCAATCATGTCCATGCACAGGATGCTCCAAGCCCAACTTAACCTGGATCGACTTTAAATGCCCTTGGGGGTCCTCCAGTAACAGAGGACTACAATGTTAGGGACACAACAGTCCGATCAGTGTGTCTCGGAAGGCAAACTGCTTAGGATAACATCAGGAGAACTGCCTGCAAATGTTTGCTGAAAACCACCACCAATGGGAAGAACAGAGAATGTGTCACCTTCTTTGACTACACACACTGTTCGACACACTTTGGCTGCGTTAAGCATTCAACTCCAAGTCGAACACTTGGAGTTCAACTCCAAGCATTCAACTCCAAGTGTTAAATACAACATTTAAACATAAACATCTTTCTTAACATCTCTAAACATCTCTCCTGTGTGGTGGAAGCTAATAGGGGAGGCCTATGCTGCTATATCCTAACAGTGGTCATCATGGTTGTACTCAGAGAGCTCAATGTTTTCTCAGGTGGTACAGAGTATATAACGTTGGTGAACTACTGCCTTAAAAAACAAACAAAAAAACATCTCCATGTCTTTTCAAATTACATTCAGCAACAGCAATTTTCAAGTCCTACACATGAAGTATAGCATGGAATGACCTCAGAAGAGTCTGGATGCAAAAGTTTAAACAGAACAAAGAGTTCAGAGTCCCTGCTCTACAAGAAACACTGCTCCAGCCAACACCTTTGATAAAGCAGGTAATTATCCCTGCTTCGCTGGAAGTCAAATTTGAACACTCCTTACACGTGTTCTCACTGTTCTTTACTCTAGGTCAGGCACAGGTGATTCAAGTTAGTTTTTTTTCCATGCAATAATCCCAAATCTTTACAAATTAATTAACAAGATTATTGCAATATTTTCCTAAATAATACACATTATTTTAATTTACATCACTGTTACAGACCTTTTTTTTAAAAAAAAATCCTTTCACTGATGACATCTCCATCCCACCGTGGTCTATTTTGGCTTGTTCTGCCAGTGCTACCCACACCAGTGTTGCACCACATTTGTGCAGAGCGATCTGTACTCGTTGTTGCTCTTGTGATGAAAATAACCATGACGACACAGGTTGTTGACTGAAGCCATCATTAAACATACACAGTTATTATCCTCAACACTATACCACACAGTGGGCTGTATTTTACTGACGTGTCAGTGCCAGGATGATGTTCTCACACATGCCGACTTCTGGAAATTTCCGGGATTATTATTACTGTTACTACCGTCATGGTAATTTTTACGAGGATTTGTCACCGATGCCCCCTATTGATAACAAAGGTTTTGTATTAACATTCCAGCCAGAGGGAGTCATCGTGTAGATGGGAACTGCACTGAATGGGTGACAGAGGAATTTCTCCTAAAGCTGGATTGTAAACATGTAGAGTGACGTTGGAGTCACGATGACACCTTGATCCCATTTCCTCAATGTTGATGTGGGTACTTTTAACAGGAATCCTGGACATCGCTGTTGCCAAGCGCCTACACTTCACTTCAGCGAGTCCCACCGGGCACCAGTCAATACCAAAACAGGAAGTCAGTAACGTCACTCTCTCTCCCTCTCTTCATTCCCTACTTTCTTTCACTCTGCTGCTTCCTGGGAGTAGACACCACACACAAGCATATGCACGCACACACTGGAGAGCACATGATAGAAACACACACACACACACACACACTCCAGCACAGAAACTCCCCTTTTCCGTGAGTCTTGTGGAAATGCTTTTAACAGCTGCGTTTAGAATTAAGTTCCACTACACCCATGTACATTCCCATGAGATCCACCCCGCCACACACACACAAACACACACACACACAGACACACAAACCACTCACACACACACCATACAGCCTCACACCCCCCACACGGCTGTAGATGTAATGAGGGCGTCCGGTGCCCTAGTGGAGGCCCTGACTTACACAGGAAATGGAGTAGCCAGATTAGGCTTTCTGCTGACCAGATGATGTGAGGAGAGAAAACACGGAGAGATGAAGATTTTAGTCTGAAAATGATTCAGTCTCCGGCTGAAATGTTATCTGAACTGAATAAAACCACAACTTTCGAATGAAAAACTTATGTTATTTATAGAGCAAGGTCAATATTAGTGGATTTCTTGTTAAATGCTATGAAGATAGTTTAAAAAGAATACATTCTATATAGTTACAGTCACTGTGATTCACTGATAAAAACAATGATGAACAATAAGTCAATGATGTCCAAAATAAAAAATAAATGTTTGACTGTGTTTATAGTGATTACAATGTTCCATCACTTTCTTTTCACATATTTACAGTAACATTATTGGCGATTCATAGCAGGTCTCACCGTGCAGGACATTTAGTTAAATGCTTCAACCTTTAGATGTTTTTGAAAACAGCTGGATCATGGATTAGATTAAATTAGAATAGATTGATGTATTGATCCCACACTGCGGAAATGGTTAACAATCACTTAACCTGTGGCTGACCTACAACAGCACTTATAGAATTCAAGGGTTTTTATAGTCAGAGCAAACATGTTCAAACTTGAAATGGTGTGAAATTGCATTTTTAAGGAAGCAAGATTATAAATGAACTTTAGAACAGGTTAACAAATGGGCTAGATTCAAATACAGTACAATAATAAAAAAACAGTGAAAATATAAAATGTAAACAAGTGAAACATTTGCAGAGCATGAATTCATTTTGAATTACCTCCAACCTCAAAAGGTCAGAGCTAAAACAGCTTCTTCTATTGTCTTAGAGTATTTCAATGTTACAAATAGTAGTGGTTTTGGTCATGATTGTACTGAAGTAAAGACAATGACATGACAAGAAGTGAGTGCTGCTCACAAACCACCCATAACGAATGGACACAGCCCAAAGTGAAGCCACAGACGTAGACAGGAAGAACACTGATAATATAACATACACAAGTGATCTGTTCAGCGTCTATGGGATTGTGAGGCTACAATATACAACTGTTTAAATCAATAGTTTTGGTTCATTTTGATTAAAAAATAAAATCCTATCATTATTGTTATTTGGGATATTGTTTGCTATTGGAGAGAAATAGTTGACAAAGAAAGATTCTTTGTACATAATCAGTGATTTTCCAAATTTGTCCAGCAATCATTGGACAGTCCAGTTGGTGATCACATGTTTAATCTACTACCCATCATACCTAAACCAGTTGTCTTTAAAGCCCAGTTATACCTATGGATACTGCACAATCATCATTCCTATTCATTCTGTTTGTTTGATGTCATGCACATTGTGAAATGCAGCCATTCAGACAAATATATTGTCATAAAAAAGTTAGTTATCACCATTGTCTTCTGCGGTGTGAAGATCTAAAAAGGAGGAAGTGAACCACTGGTTATCTATGAAAAACATGCAGTTAAAACCTATGGCTGAGGGAGAACTGAAATTGTCAGTAAAAGATTTCCGGACGTTTCAAATCAAACACGCGCTAATGTCATTTCACACAGACACCAATGATCACTTCCAGTTTTCACCACAGGGGTTGTTTAACTTGTCCCTGTACATCCCAATACAAAGAGACTATTTTAGTGAGCTTATTTAAAAAGTAATAATCAAACTAGGAGGACATTTTCTGAAAGATTTAGTTAATTACTTTGGAGAGTTGTGATTATATAATAATAGCAATGTGATGGAGGCTGGAGCAAATGTTTTCCCTTCTGACAGTGTGGAGTCAATTGAGGAAATTACACAGCCTTGGCGGAAGTTTGATGATTTAATGATAAAGTCCACACACACACACATACATACACAAGCGTGTCACCAAATAGTGACTTTACTAGCGTGTGTGTCAATGTCTCTAAGTATATGACACCTAAAATGATGTAAAATTCCCAATGGAAACAAAACCCGTAACCGCGGTTATTGCGATCCAGTGACCATTAAAACATCAGCTCAGTGAGGGCGATGTAAGTGTTACATCCGCAGACGTTCGACCTGTTTCGCAATCGCTCATCTCAGCCGCCGGAGAGGAACTGACAGTGATGCAACGTGAGCAACAATGCGCCAGAAATCGATACCAAATTTCCGTTCCACACACGGAAGACCCGTTTCGCAACACATCCACCATTGCGCACTGCTGACTGGTTGCGGTGCGGTGCGCACACGTCGCTGCACACGGCCACATACCTCCAGGTAGGGCCGAGGCTGCTGTTACGATCATGGGGGGAAAGAAAGGGAGTGATAACACCGGAATAAATGGTGCCGAGGCCTACCTGCTCTTCGTCTGCTGATAAAGTTGATGCCATGGTTCCCGTCAGATCCCCGATCACTATTCACCAAAGACGCGTCCTTTTTCCACCAAGTGGAGATAGCGGAGATGTGTGTGTGTCCCTCGTGTAGAACGGAGCTTCAGGTTCGGTCCCTTCGGATCAAAGTTGAAGGAGACATGAGAACCACAGCAGTTTGCTTCTTTTCATCAATTTGATTATTAAAACACGAAGGCAAATTAGCCCGAAAATGACATTAGGGCCAAAAAACAAAAAACGATGATGTTTTCAGAGCGGATAAAAGAAGAGGGTAAAAGAGGACAGGAGTCGAGCGGTGAGACCAGGCTTTGCTTCAGCTCGACGATAACTGAGCTCAGACCATGATCTGCTGCTCTTCTGTCTGGACGTGTGGGGATCAGGGGGCTGCAGCTGCCCGCTGGATCCTCCATGCCACGAACGGCAAGTTCGAGCTTTGAACGCTGCCTTTATGTTCTGTGTGGGTGAGAGAGAGAGAGAGAGAGGGAGCGAGCGTACGCGCGCGCGTGCACGCACACAACAAACAAACACACACACGGATGTCTCCCTATTTTCATGAGGACTCCTCATTGATATGAACGACGCTGGTCCACGGGACCTAGTTTAGAGAGACTTTCTATTTTTGTGAAGACTACACAAGGGCAAACAGAACCAGTCCTCACATCCTGGTATGCACTCTTTTCTGCGTGTTGCTCTGCCCCCTAGTGGTTATTAACGGAAATATGCACACCGACCCCCGCCTTCATTCATAAAAATAGTAGAATCACCATTAAAATACGCTTTTAGGTAGAAAAAAGGTGTAGAAATAGGCTGTATAAATAATAATAATAAAAATGGATAAAAATTAAATTTGTAGCTAAAAAAGTAAATGATGCTAAATCAATGAAATCAATGAAAGCTGAAGTAGCTAGCATTGAGATAAATGCTAAATTATGTACCATACATAGACATAGTTACCAAAAATAGACCAAAACGTATACAAAGAAATTTTTAATTTAGTCCACGAATATTTACCATTCTGCTCAAGATACACTAAATACTAAAGCATAAAAGGCATATATTTGTATACATCAAGCCATATCACAAACTATATACATGTTTTTTAAATTATTTTTTATAACTACTAATTATAATTAAACACCAAACAGCACTGTGGATGTATAAAAAAGAAGTGTGCTCTGCCCTCACAGCTGATTTCCAGAATAGTAATTTATTTAGTGAAACTCTTGACTCACGCGCCCCCTGGTTCCATCCAGTACACTTTACAGGAATGGTATGAGATCATAGGAAAGAGAAAATACCCGACAGAATGAGAAATGCGATGTAATGTGACACACACTGAAACGTAGCAGAGGTTTCCCTTCGCTGTTGACAACAATCAGAAGGCTGCATTATCTGCAGCGTTGTTGATGTGTTACCTTAGCATGTGTTCAATAAGAGAAATACTGATGCATTAAAAACGCATTGTAATGAAATATACTATAACAGCTATGGAAAAAAGAAAAACCCCACTGTGAGACCGGAAGAGAATTTATTGTACCACCTCAAGTGTTTTTTTTTAATTCAAGGAAAGGCTAATTATAGATGCATTCACATGCTGTTTATTTATTTATTTATTCAGCCATACACAAATCAAGATAGCACAATTGATAAACTGTAAATAAGGAGGCGTGAGAAAATGTGGACTCTTTTCTTTTTTTTTTCCAAAGGGAAAAGGGAGTGGAAAACAATAGACGTCCTGTGGAACCAGCTGAATCATATCATTTGGGGAAATGTGGCTGATAAACAAAAGTTGTGTCCGAGGTACTTTGTAGTTGTTAGTGAAAATAATTCTGACATCTAACTGCCAGTCCAGTTCTGAAGTGTGTCTTGGGTTGTTTGTAATAATCAGACAAGTCGTTCCATTCAACCAACATAGCTTTTACAATTCTAACCCTAATCTCTGTGGGTCTGTGTAATATCTATATTTATATATACATATATATTTTTTAATCCAGGCTTCTTTGGCCAATTATGTATTTCATCCTGGCCATCTGCTGCTATACCCAAACAGTATTCCACATGTTGCTTCACTTAACATTTTCTTATCGATATACATTGTAGTCTGTCATCGTGGCTCATTGAAGACATTTTGTTTTAGCTGCAGACCTATCTTTGACTACATCAGGGGTAATGTGTCAGCAAAGAGTTGATAAAATAAAAACTAAAAAAATCCGGTGTTTAATTCTTGCCTCAACGCCTCCCTCCTTTTTTTCCTGGAAGACATTATCAGATACTCTTCATCAGACTTTCAATTTCTGACATTTATTCAAATAATAAGAGCCTGTAAGTGGCTGCACACCACATAAAATATTCCATATAAAGTTCCTGGAAGATTTTTGAAGCGCACAAATGACTTTATGACTGTCACGTTGAATTATAATGTGCATTTGAGTCATTTGCATTTCTAAGGTAAGTCCAGTGAATTGTAATGTTGTAATAATGTGTATCAGCAGTCATGTGTTCAGATGTAAAAGGGACTGGGTGGATATTGTTCTTGTTTTTAGCAGGAATTTTACGATTTATGCACACCAAAGCAGAGTATTTACCAAAGCAGAGTATTTACAAAATTCAAAAAAGTTCAAAACCTTCTCCTGAGGACATGCAATTTAACTCGCTTCAATCCTGAAACTTGCAGCTACAGCACTGGTTGCTGCACAGCCACAAACCAACATGCATTTTCTTCTCCTTCTCATGATTTTTTTTAAACAATACCAGAAATTAATACCTATCGTGGAGGTTTCAGAAAAAAAACAAAAAACGAATTCCCTGAAGTATTCTTACATTTAGGTCTGCCTGTGATCACAGGAGCCAGAGCACTGCTTGCACGAGTCACCGCGTGGGAGTCTCTCAAAGTGTTACTGTGAACTGTAATGTGCTCAGTTCCTGGAAAGTGATCTATGCTGCTGACTCATAGCTAAATTCTTGCAGAAACCACACGCTTAATACATTGCTCTCGTCCTCAAACCTCCAAGCGGGTATAAGACATAAAAAACATCCGGCTGTTTTCTATGAACTTTGTTCCACGTGTTGCTCCAACCTACATTATTGTCAATAACACTCTTTGAAATTCCAAATGCAACAGATTATTTATTATTATTATTACTTTTATTTATAAATAAATAATGTATTCATCAATTTCCTCAGAAACAAGTGTTCTGTAACTTTCAATAAGTGACACATGACACTGTGTGATCGGTTTCAGCTCCACTCACTGTGGTGATTAATCTTGTTTCCCAGTAATAGGTGTAGAAGACCAGTCAACATGTTTCACCTGTCAATGTTCCGTGTAGGAGGCACAAACCAAACAGCCACAGAAAACAAGACAAGGACAAACGTTTTGATTACAGTAGAGGCATGAGGGGAAAAAAGTATCATGTTTATATAATGATTGAGGTTAAACATCTAACTAACAAGCCAACAAAAATTACCTTTTCTATACACATCTTTCTAAGAGGAATATCATAACTGTATGATCCAAAATAAGTTTAACAAATCAAATTAAAAAATATTTTGAGCGAGTTCTCCACTTTCATCCATAGTGGATTCTGTATCATCATCCATACAGAAGAGAAAAAAAAAACAAAACCCAAAAACACACATCACTCTGGGGCACATGTGTAATCTCTCTTCTTTGATTGGTTGGATCCATCCATCTAATTAGTCACAATAAAGGGTTAAAAACATGACTACAATGACAGCTCTATTATCCTCATGGTCAGAGAAAGAAATAATGGTCTGATGCCACAGACTGACCCACTATCAAAGGTCACAGTGAAAGAACTCTGTCCAACAGCTACACTAAGAAACAGTGTGTGTGATCATTCAAATGTCTGGACCTGTCAGAAGGTTGTACTGTAAACTGTAAAAGTGCTTCCACCGACTGACAAAGCTGACTGTCCATCTGTCGCCTCTAACTTTTGACATGAATGCTTTTATCTCAAGTATGTTCACAATCTGAAGCTGTAAACAACTCACGTCAGAAGTAGAAGTACAACCTTTCACTTGTATCTGAAACCAGAAGAGTAAACCTCATGGCTGTGACTTCTCTTCAAACAGGAAAACAAAAGGGGAAAAGGAAAACCAGGTCGCCTCCCTTCCTAACAAACCGCTTCGTGAAAACGGAGCACCTTGTAACCCGAGACCAATGGAGGTGTTCTTTCTCAGAGGATATTTTGGCCCAGGTCACTGAAACAAAGTTTACCACTCTGTCAGACAATCTGCACATCTTTTCCTGTTGACAATTTCCACACCACTCTCTGGTTACGCAAATGGCCGAGGGAGCCGAGTGTAGAGGGGAAGAGGTGCCGGTGAATTCTGCTGATTGAGTGGCTGGTTCAACAGCGTGAGTCATGTCTCAACAAATACTGGAACATCAGCTATCAGCAGGTGAAATGGAGGAGTGCTGACAGGTACAAAGTCACAGCAAGACAGTGGAACATTTGCCATTTCAGCTGTAATATCTGCAGGTCTCTATTTGTGAAAGTAACACAAAGCTAAATATTTTCATGGTATGTTCAAAATCAGCAGCCAGAAAGTTACTCTGTGTCACAGAGAAGTGTGTTTACATCAACTGGATTACTGTAAAAAAAAAAAAAAAAACAGACCCATGAATGCATCGGGCAGTGGTGGCTTAGTGGTTAAAGAAGGTGCATGGCACCGTCCCCACACACTGCTCCCCAGGCGCTTAAAGCTGCTGACTGTTCACTTTGGTGATGGGTTAAAAGCAGATGTCATGTTTGGTTGTGTACAGTCGTACTGTGGCTGAGCCGTTACTTGGAAAATTCCAAACAACATTCAGTTGTGAAATACTTGGCAGAAACAGTGTAGGACGTACGTTGGGTATTTGGTAAAATCCTTTGTTTGAATAAAGACACACTTGGGGCAATACTCGTGTGCATACTTGTGCTTATACTCTTCAACCTCACACTGAGGAGTTCATCACAAAGAAATGTGACGCATGGAGTGCTGATTAACACCACTATTAAATTAAAAAAAAAAGTTTCCTGTTTGTGAGAAACGGTCCAAGTTAATCCCTTACTCATCACTCATGTCTGACTTTAAAAAAATCTCTCACCAAGAACACTGAATCAAATTGTTTAGAGTAAAAGGGTTTTATTTGGAAACATATACTTTTAAAACACCTTCAACAATTCAGGTTTAACATACATAGTAAAATCAGCTCATCTCACCTCCAAAAACATCTCGAGGTTACATCAGCTTCGGTCAGAACAAGTCTGATTATAAGGTGTTGGTATCACTACAGCAGCTGAAGTGGGTCAGAACTTCACCAAGAGCTGAGCAGCAAAAAAACCCAAAAAACACCACCAAGTATTTGTTTTTGATCTGACTGAGTGACATCATAAGTACAGTAGAGTAATACTGTCATTATCACCCAATGAATAGCAGCGGCTGTGGCAGACATGTAAAAAGCCGAATGTTTTCAGGGGGAAATTAACGCACACAGCAGAGCTCTACTAATCTGCAGAGTACAGAAAACCTGAACTGTGCAGGATTAGAATTAGCTGTGCTTGACAACGTGTCAGTTCTGCAGGACCATGCAGAACACGTGATTAAATGCGATATTTGAGCAGACGGCGCGTATAGACACGACAGCTGTATCTGGTCAGACTCAGACTTCCATGTTTGCTTCTCTTGTAGGTTGTTGACACAGAAAATCTGCGGAGTCTCCACTGCCCTCTCTTGGTGTAGACAGGTACTCCAGCTCGTAACCTCCGCTACTGTTGGCCGGCCGCACTTCGCTCGATGCTTTTTTGTGTTCTAAGATCTGCTTCAGCTGGTGGTTTGCGTATTTTGGTTTAGCTGTGAGGGGTCCTACGGGAACCTCTATATCCAGGATGTCAGTGACCATGTACGGGCGAAGCCAGCCGACCAGCGGTGTGCTACCGGGAGTGTAGTGTGTCTCGCGGTGGTAGAAAAGCAGACCATCCACCTGGATCCACAAATTTGACATGAGATTGGTTTAAATCTGGTGCAGAGGTATTTTTTGTATCTTTCCATCAAACCTGTTGATTTATTAATCTTGCAAAGAAACGTCCTTACGCTGAAGCTATACTCGTCAGCTAGGACTTTCTGGATCGATTCCGCAGTGCAGGCCATGCTCTCCAGTCTTACAAACCGGAACTGTTGGAATGTTAGTTTAAAAATTAATTAGTTTTAAATCAAAGACATGACACTGCGTGTAACCAGGTTAGCTAAGCCAAACAACTTGTGATGCCTCCAGGATCTCACCAAGAACTAAGATGACGTCTGATTTGCAGGTTTAGTGCTAATCACAGAAAAATGAAGGGACAATTCCTCTGTTGAGGTGACGTTTCTTAAAAATGTTGCACTTGTACAGCAGGTACTTTCGAGATTTAGACACCAGTCGGCCCTGAAAGAGCGTGCCCTTGTATAACAATGTGTCTGTCCAGTTCCAGTAGAGGACAAATGTACTGTAACTGAGTTAGGTCATTGTGCAAATACTCACAGGGTTGCGCTTTGTAATCTGTGTCAGGCCACTGCTCTCCTCCATTTTGGACTGAAGCCAGAAGAAACGGAATTCAGTCTGTTGATGAGAAAACAGGGCTCTGTAAACAAAAAACTCGTATTTCCAATCCTTCGGAAAAGACATGGGCAAAACATTCAAGAGCACATCTGTGGCCCAGACGTAGCTACTTAAGCAATTAGATAAGCATTCCTGGATTGCAGGAGGATTAGAGGCCAGTCTTACCGAGCAGTCATAGACCGGGTGGCCTCCCCAACACATGATATCCAAGATGTAAAACGTTCTGTCCACTTCACTGTAAATGCAGTCCAAGATTGTGTAGTCTTCACAGAAAAAAACAGAAAATATAAATATATTTGTCAACTTAAATTAGTGCTTATGCAAGAAAGGTGTTGTCAGTTTGTGTTTTATATGAAACTGTACAAAAACAAAAAAGAAAAAAAACAAATTGATAAATAAGCCTTACTAAACTCAACATACCATTAACAACCAAAACTGCAAGACATTTTACATACATGGATTAAAAATACTTCATGACAAGCATTGATTCAATGTGTTGCCAAAAATACAGTTAATCCCTGTGTCCTTAATAGGTGCCAGTCCTAGATTTCATGTCAAGCATTGATTAATGATGACAATCTCAACTCTTAAATATTTAAGATAAGATTTTATTCATCCCACAACTGGGAAACTCAGTTGATACAGCAGAAGGATAGACACAGTATTTACTAGTTATTTTGTATATTTTGAGTTTTTACACAGAGATAAAAATTTAACAGGGAAATTTTGGCTACTTTTGCTGGATCTCAGACAGATTTTCCTTGTGTCATATGACCAATAATTTGTGTAAGCCAAACATTTCCTATAGTTCTGGGCTTACAACGATATTCTTTTATGCTAGTTCTTGTAATATATAATAATAATAATATTGTTGATGGACCACTTTTTATTTTTACATTTGCAGTAATTATATTTAAGTCAGTGGCGCTTTGGCCCAGAGGCAATGTCTCTGTCATTGGTGTGGAACCCCAGGGTTCACCTCCTGGACAAGTTCGAATCCCGGTTAGGGCGGTTAATACCTTCCAGTGGACTCACCACCCGCAGGAAGGTTTGGGGGGTTGGTATGGTGCAATGTGATTTGGGTAGCGACTGCTGTCCCCGCAACCCGGTAACGGATAAGCGGATGAAAATGGATGGATGGATGGATGGATATTTAAGTCAATTTAATGGTAATAATCAAACTTAAACTCGCCAAAAGCATCTGTTGAGACACTTCACTGTGTTGCCAAAAATACAGTTAATCCTTTGTGTCCTTAATAGGTGCCAGTCCTAGAATGATGCGTGCCTGTCATACTCACCCTTTCCCCTGGAAGACGTCTGTCTGTTTCCACCAGGCAGCAGGGAGGGGAAACGGTTCACACACTTGCCACTCTTCGTGTACGCTGCAGTAGAACCCTGCAAGAAAAGTCCTGGATGTAAAACAAGGGAAGTCGCCATGTTGTGTGATGTGAAATGTACAAAACCTTCAAACTCTACAAGTCGGTCCATGACTAAAACCACAGCACTCGTGAGAAGTGGAATCACTACATTTTAACTTATATGTGATACAGACTTTCAAGGATTAAGTGACCCATAGCTGTCCAATGGAGATACTGCAGGACAAAATTTCCAAACACTGCATTGTTCTAACTTGATCGACATCAATGAATCAATCAGCCTTATTCTGTTTTCAGTAAACCTCCACATCCTATTTAACATTGGGCAAACAAGCGTTAACATCAGTTATTAATAAGAGTTAGTCACCAGGTGGGTCCGGACTAACAGACTGTCATTGTGTGTTTTTGCTGGTTGCATCACAGGGTGTGTAGTGTTAGTGTCTGCAGGACAACACAGGTTTGTGTGTCCTGATAGAGAAAGAAATGCAGCCCCGGTATGACAGGATGGGCATGTTGTACCGGTTGCTAGCGTTGAGCAGATGAATAATGTCATTGCTGATGTGTGACGGACATCAGGAAGTGATGTCATCACTGAAATGTCTATATAACTGAGGTGCCTGTGATGCTTTTATTTTAAATTATTAGAATGTATCTAATTGGGCTCATATGGCACTGAAAAGTGTGGAAAATGTTTGTTTGGGTTTCCCTAACACTGACATTAAGTCTTCAAGCTTTTCAGAATGAGTCTAATGATGTCTGCACTTGCAGGTCAGGTTTAGGGGTGTAAATATTGAAAATATTGATACACTGAAATATTGCATTATTTTTATTCATAATATTTGATATTCTGCAGCACGATTTTTCTTTATTAACAATTAACATGCAATATTCAAGGCATTAGTAAGTTTTATTTTGCTTTTATTTCTTCTCTAGTAATTAAAAAAATATAAATCCCTTTGTTCCGAACCTAACCCGGTGTTTAGCATGTAACTGCATTGTGTTTTCACTATTTTCATAGTTTTCCTACTATTAAATAGTTTTAAAAAAGTTAAATAAAGAGTTGCCTGTACTGTATTGTTGCCTTGTATCCTGATATCTGGTATTGTAATGCTGGGTTCTTGTAAATACACACCCTTAGTCAGGATTGTATTTTGTTGGAATTGGAAAAAGTAAATAATTAACATTGTAAGGCTTGGCCAAATACAATAATTTACCTTTACACATACCAACTTATAAATACCGTACAGTCTTTGAGGAACCAGTATAATGAAGACTGTTTAGTTATTTGAATTCCCATTATTAATTTTACTTTCCACTACACGATCATTTGAGTTGATGCATGATGTGATTCATGACATTTGGAAAAACTGTATGACATATACAGAGAAAATGACAAAGGCAGTTCATCTTGATCTCCATAATACTAAGAATACATAACTGAAATGGCAAGAAATTGATTCAAATTACAGCAGTCTTCTTAACACAGTAGTTGAATGATGCAGTGACAGTGCATTTAAATGAAGGATTATTTGCTGATTTTTTAATTAATTTATAATTAATGTGTCAGGGCAGGAAGGTGACACATCAAAATCAGCAGGGATGGAAACTGAGAGCAGGTTTCAGACTATAATATGTATTTCAGCAATAAACCCGTTATACTTGTAAAAAAAAGCCTTCAAAGATACTCACCTTAGAGGCAACAATGAGGGATCGCTTCCCCACAGGACAGACTACCAACAGCCAGTCAGTGTCCAGTTCTGATGGCACATCCACCAGCCACTCTGACAGCATGAGCTGCAATGGATAAACAGTTGGTTATTAACACTAACGCTGACTCAATTTCATCTTCATCAACTATCAAAGAGCCTTAGAGCAGAGTCGCTATTGTAGAAAAACGCTGCCATCTACTGGACTAAATTAAAAATGCAAGAAAAAGTATTTAGCAATTTGGTGTTTTTCTCTAGGTCAACAACATGAAAAGCACAGACCTGGTTGGCATAATCCTTGGGGAGCTTCCTCCTCTCAATTTCCATCCCCTCTTCCTCCACGGTGCTGTTTTGCTCCTCTTCCCCATCCTCTTGTTTCTCCATGTCCTCCTCCCCATCACTGTCTGCCTGTGTCCAGTCCCCATCAGCCAGACGACGGGCATGGTTGACATAGTTTAACCTTTTTCTGAGATGTAAAGACAAATAGGCCCTTTATTCCACTTTAAAACATTCTACATCACATGTAGAGTCAACTATGTGCCCATTAGACTGGTTTAGGAATATATTCTAATATGCACCTTTTTTGCAGGTCAAGAAAACGTCTTCGTCTCTCATCCTGCTCCAAGATGCTAAATTTGCTCTTGAACTGGGCCAGTCGAGGGTGGGGGGCAGCTGTACTGTTGGGCTCGGTGGACACAGCAAAGCTGCTTGAGAGCGCTAGGGTGAGGTCATCCATGGGGACTCTGCACAAAAATAAAAGAAATTGATAATGGATGTGGAAACATACATCATTATACCTTGCAGACATGTTGTTCTTTCTCACTGAAAGTAGCCACACATACAACTATACAACTCATGACATGTTGCCTGCAGCCTGACATTTATCCACATGAGGATTAAGCATCTGGCGTAAGCTTAAGCAACAAAACAATGAGAGCTAAACCTAACAAAACATCTGAAGAACAAACCCAACCTCACCCCAGACTGCCAGAAACGTCTGTGCCCAAAAGTGCTGCAGACTCTCGCATTAAGTATTGAACCAATAGAAGGGAGGATGGTATTGTCTGTAGCTGACATGGTGGGATTGTGGAAGTTGTTTGCGCCATTTTTTTAACTTGGTAAAATTAGGTCTATTTGGAGCTGCAGGGCTAATAAGTCGTGATGGGACTACATTGTACATTGAAATAAATTCATGGTTGTGGCTGATATCAGGTTGGCGACCGCTGTCACTGATGAGTGAAGCTCATTCATTCAAACTCACGATCTAGCTGTATAGTGACTGTGTCATGTTGCACCTGTTCCTTTGATTTGATCAATATGAAGTAATCAAAGGAACATGGCCATGTGAATGCGTATGTATGTGTTAGGTTTCTATTGTTTGTATTATACTATGTATCAAACAGGATCTATGTCACAGCTATTTCTTCATCTTCAGCATTCAAACTGTCACAGCAGTCGGAAACATAAAACAATAAAAAAAAAAATAACCGACGTCTTCTTTCCAGCAGTCGGAAACATAAAACAATAATAAAAAAAAAATAACCGACGTCTTTTTAAGATGATTAAGTGCAAATTGGTAGCGGAATATCCATACAAAAACTTATTTCTGTAGAATTATTGTATTGTACTGAATCACAGTATACGCACATACTGCCATTCTCCAGAGCTAGCATTATGCTAGGTCTGCTAAGGCAGTTGCCTCACAAGACGTTAAAAGCTAACTGAAACGCCGATATTTTTGCCATTATATCTGCAAAAGCCCCTTTAAACAGTTATTATAAATAATAATTTAAAATGTGTGAACTAAAATGTGTCCCATATTTAGATAATTACCTGGGGTACGCCGGAAGTTACTGCCACTGCTGCTGTGACGTCACATTGTCAAATTTCCCATAATGCACATCATTATGTTGGCCGATCCTCAGTAAACCATCCCGGAGTTATGTACGCAGTGAAAAATGTCTGAAAAATGAAAAACCCACAATATCGATAAGCATCTGTCAAAACCATCGGTACTATACTGTATTTAAGTATCAAACAATAATAAAAGTCCATTAATATTAATAGCACAGGTGTATTTAAGTTTTGAGTTGAATCTGGTATTCTTGCACTTGCAAATACAGTATTTGTTAATACATCCAAGCTGTATATTTTTCACACCATAGTAGGTACACAATCTTAAAAATATAATCAAATTATTATTATTATAAGATAATAATAAGAACATAATTAGAAATATAATAGCAAGCTAAGAAGATATAAAGGTAATAACAATATAACTATTCTTTCTTATTATAAATCTTATTTAACATTTTGTGGTAAAAAACAAAAAACAAAGAACATGTTGTAGTTATCCAGACAATTCGAATGCCAGTCTAATTTATGACTGTAGACTAATGGAAAACAAAAATGATTGAATATTATAGTTATTCATAGTTTTTGTAGAGGGCCCCGAAGCAAATAAGAATAAAAAAAGCTAGTGACGTAATGTTTTTTTATTTCAAAATCTTACAATTGGGCAGCTTCAACGCTCCCTTGAAAGTTCTGGTTTTGTTGTGGCTGTCCCATGTTTTGCCTGGAGGTGGCGGTGTTGTGTTGATTTCTTCACTTACTGAAGCCCATTAAAGGAGCTGATGAAAAAAGGGGCGAACTTGCTTTCTTCAATTGTCCGAACCCATAACGTCATGGAAAGAGATACTTTGTTGCAGCGCGCACAGCACTAAAGCGTAAGAAATAATAGTGATGTTTGTTGATCGGTTGTAGCTGTTTTGTTTCTGTGGTTCGATAGACCAAAGATGCGCAGGAACCTGTTTACAAGAACAACGCAGCAAGTTTAAGTCCGGCCGGGATGTGGAATGTGGAGCAGCCAGGCTCAAAATGCCCAGGAATATCATTACTCTTCAGTGTTTGTCCTCACGCCGGATCACTTAGTGTTGGAAATATTTTCATCAGGGATCTTGTCTGTGCTCCACAATGAGAAACAAGTATCCCAGAAGTCATCAACGCCAGGATTTTAAGGATTAAATCCAGCATCGCTGCTTTTAGAGGAACTACTTGGTGAACGCAGTTTTGGTTTCGAACCTGTTGAGTTTGTGATGTGAAGTGATGTAGAAATCCTTTGTTGTTGTGTAGCTACTGTTTAATATATGCGTTGTAGACTAAACGTCTTTTGGCTTTTCAGAAACGAAGACAATAGAGACATAGCCTCAATAGACTAACGATGCTAATGCTCACAGCAGGCACGTTTTAGACTGGGTAATAAGTAATAAGGTGATATATAATTGTGTACTTTGTTGGGTTTGCTCATAATACGACCATTAAAATTACATAAAGGTCATCCTGAACACTTTTGTACACCCGATACAATAGTGACCATGTAATGTGAGATGAGTTTTAATATTACAGTAAGCTTGTGCTAGTTGTTTCCAAAACAGCATGCATGAAACCAGCAGCAACTGTATAATCTAGGCACTATGTGCATGTAGAAGTTTCTGCTTAAAGGACGTAGTATTAAAATAACAAAATGTCAGTGAAAGCCAAAGCCATCTATACATTTCTTAGTGAAAACAAAGAGGAGATTAGCATCCAGGAGAATGAGGAGCTAGTTATTTTCGATGAGAATTCCGTGGACGGTTGGTTCCAGGGGGAGAACAGCAGAGGGGAGAGGGGTCTCTTCCCAGCCTCATATGTGGAAATAATTCGCACTCGCTCAAACTCCAATGTGACTGACTGCTCCATCAGCCCAGCAGGCTCTTTAGGAAAGGACTCTTCGTACTTTTCTTCAATTCCAATCACCCCACCTAACCTGCAGCAGCCATACTATGATGATGAAGATGATGACTGGGATGATTGGGACGACAGGTCCACTGTTGTTGAGGATGCTGACTATAGCAGGAGCCCAGGGGCCAATGGACATGACTATCAGAGCCCAGTGTCCAACAACCCCAATGTGCACTACAGGACCAAACCCCACATGGAGCGACAGGACAGCATCTCTAGTTCAAGGAAAGGCAGTATGGTGGGTAGGAACTTAAATCGTTTTTCCAGCTTTGTCCGTTCAGGCGTTGAAGCATTTGTACTGGGTGATGTGCCCATGATGGCGAAGATAGCCGAGTCATACACCATTGAGATGGGCACTGTGGGGCCTCAGTGGAAAGTAAGCCCACAGCCTTTTACCTGCTCTATTGAAGATCCCACCAAACAGACAAAATTCAAGGGCATCAAGACCTACATTTCATACAGGGTCACGCCAAGTCACATAGGGCGTCCTGTCTACAGGCGTTACAAACACTTTGACTGGCTGTACAACCGCTTGCTGCATAAGTTTACTGTGATCTCTGTGCCCCACCTACCTGAGAAACAGGCCACAGGGCGATTCGAGGAAGATTTCATTGAGAAGCGTAAGAGAAGATTGATATTATGGATGAACCACATGACCAGTCACCCAGTCCTCTCACAATATGAAGGTTTTGAGCATTTCCTAATGTGTACTGACGACAAGCAGTGGAAACTTGGAAAGAGACGGGCAGAAAAGGACGAGATGGTGGGTGCCCATTTCATGCTGACACTGCAAATTCCTAACGAGCACCAGGACCTACAGGACGTAGAGGAGCGGGTCGATACCTTTAAGGCCTTTGCCAAGAAAATGGACGATAGTGTGATGCAGCTCACGCACGTAGCCTCGGAGCTGGTTCGTAAACATCTGGGTGGGTTCAGGAAAGAGTTCCAGCGACTAGGAAATGCCTTCCAGTCTATCAGCCAGGCATTTATGCTTGACCCTCCCCACAGTTCAGAGGGCCTCAACAGCGCCATCTCGCACACAGGTCGAACATATGAGAACATAGGAGAGATGTTTGCAGAGCAACCTAAGTATGACCTCTTCCAGATGCTGGACAAGCTGTCGCTCTACCAAGGCCTACTGGCCAACTTCCCTGATATAATTCATCTGCAGAAAGGTAACTTTACAGTATATGTATATTCCATGTATGCCACATAGATGAACATTAAAAGGCACCATTAATTATGACTTTAAGGACAAACCAGGAAAGTATGCATCTACTTGTCCCGTGTGGTTGTAGCATCCAAGAATGTTGACAAGCGGTAACCTGTTGTGTTGCAAAAAGGTAGATCAATTCTATTTATTTGTCTGTGCTATTCATTTCTGCAGTTAGTAATACAGTGTTTTACATTCACCTGCAGCACACATCTCTGTCTTTGCAGCAGTGCATGTCCATTTTTTTTGAACCGGTAAAAGCACCAGATGCAGAAAAAAAATAGTGTGAAATTTTGATTTATTCTCTGGAAATGCTCTCTCCCTGATTTGCATACAACTATTATAGTTTCACTTTTAACCTCACTGACCAGTTATAAAAAAAGGAACAAACTGTCCAAGAAGATTCCTGCTCCGAATACCAGTGGTTGTGTTAAAAAATGGCTGGTTTTCCCAGACCACACAATATAATATTACAAATCAGGTCTATAACAAACCTTGTTTTCCTCAAGATAGGGTGAACATTGACTCATTACTGCTGTTCCTATCAGCTGATTGGAGTTAGTTGAGGAGGAAGAGTGGGCTTGTTTTGAGGAACAATGCTGAACAATGCTTCTCCAAATGCAGCTGGCAGTCATTATCACAGTACAGTGATCTATTCAAGCTATTGACATGTCATCACTCCACCCAGGAGTGAATAAGAAAAACCCAACCAACAAAACAAGATCAAAGTATCAACTCACCCTTAAACTAATGTTTTTATTTTTTAGATTTGTAGTCTGAAGGACTGTTTGGTTATAAATCTAAATATTTAAGACATCCCTGTCATGTGGCCTTTGAGTTAGGTCCAGTACGTTTATTTGTATTCTCTGGTGTTTGCAGCTGAACCCAAGTTAGTGCTCTATTCTACACAGGCACAGAGGCATTAATCATCACTCACTGTCAGTAACCTACATTATGTTGGAGAGGTCGTTTGGTTTCTGCAGAATTCTGAAGATTTGGAATTATATTCTGTCCAAAGATGGACTGGACAGTTTACAGCCCAGCATAAGATAAAACAGTCACTGATTCAGAAATTGAATATAACATTGGAATCCGGATTTGGATATATATGTCAGCTTACCTAATCAATTTGTTGCATCTAATCCTGTACATGTAGAATTAGATCCAAAATGAGTAATATAATTGCAGCTCAGATTTGTGCATATATGTTCATGTCTACGTATCCTTTAACTAACTGTGATGTTAAAAAAAATACAATTAATCTTTAATCTTTTTTTATTAAAGTAATACTTCAACTTTTAAGAATAAAAGACTGAAATAACCATATCTGTAACAGGTTGAGTAATGGTTAATATAGACGAGCTAGCTTAGTATAAGGAAGCGGTCAGAAAAGGTTAGCCAAGGTCATCAATCAGCACACTCACTCTGGTTTATCTAAGTCACACATAATAAATATGTTAATTGATCATAATTACTACATGAAATAAGAATACCCAAATATTTATAAGATATCTTAAACAAAGAGACGGCAAGAAGTGTTTGGTTTTACACTCTGTTCCCCGTCGGTTAAAAAAAACCTTCCATGATGAGAGTCGTGTTTTGCTGAAACAAATACAGCTGTGGGAGAACTAGAACATGCGGAACTGAGGTCAAACGTTTCCGGTTTACTCCTCCTCAGCAATTCATCAAGTTTTTTTTGTTTGACTTTCCTTTCCACTTAGCTTGACATTTTGACATTGTCGTTTTGGATGTTGTTATATTTCCACATATCCCAGAGACCAAATGATCTGCAGGAATGTCAGCTTTCTTCAAGATACTGATGGACAGTGATATGTGGCCTTGATAAAAGTGGGTGAAGGCAGGAGAGCTTTTTGGGAAATGTCAGAAAGATGTCAGGGTGTGCTCCATAGATATTTTTCTTCTATTTTGCCGCTTGTGTTGTCCTTCTTTTGCCTTTTTTCTTTACTTCACTGTTTCTCTAAATCCCTCTGTCACAAAGATTCACTTCTGCTCTTCTAACCTCTCTCTGCTTCTTTTCACCTTTTACCCTGTTTCACTCTTATGACCTTCTTATCTTCAAGTCTGCCCGTGCTGCTGTCCTTGTTTCAACCATCAAAGTAAATCTCTTTGATCCAGAGATTTACTTTTCTTTTTCTATTTTCTTTTTCAACAATTTATTGCATTATTTGGAGCAGATTCCAGAGGTACTTATCTAATTAAATACAACTGAAAGATCAAAGTCTTAGAGATGCATTGCCAAAATGTTTACATTCTGTGATGCTATGAATGCCTGTGAAAGTCAATGACTTAAGTGCAAAAGTAAAAATAAGTAAAATAGTATGTACTGCACACATACAGTATATCCCATAAAACTTAAAGAACAAATAACCCATTAAGCTTTGGAGACTGGCAATTTCAACACAAATTTTCCAAAATCCCTACAACCTATTTTAACAAACTTTGAATAACATTGTGTAAAATATAATATTCTTTAGCGGTTCATAACACAGTTTTAAATTTCATTTGAAGCTATTGAGCTATTTCTGCTAACCCTCATACCTTGATTTTTCCTAGTTTATGTTAATGCCACATGTAAAGACAAACAACTATTCACACTTAAATACATATTGATGGTCAATTTACAATATGCAGATTACAGATTCTTAGATGTTTAATAAGTATTGAAGGAACTGGAGAACCCAGATAAAATCTACAACAAAGAATATCAGTTAGCAACAGGTGATCTTTTCACTGTAAGGAGAAGTTCAATCATGCCACCCCTGAGTAATATCAGAGTTGTCAGTTGATGGTGGCTATTAAATATTTTTACCCATTTATAGCCATCTGTATGCAGTGTACAGCATGAGTTTCTTTAAAAGTTAAATTACGGCACACTTTGCTTCTAATTACATTGATTGTCATTTAAAGGCTTGGCTTCAGCTGCCTGTTATAATCACATGTGGGTTATCACAGTCACTGTAGTTTACTGTGCTCTTAAAAAAAACGAGCTCTTTTGGTCTGGAATCAATTTGTAACCAAACAATAAAAGTCCTTTCTGTGGAAGTATGGATACAGTGACGGCAGCTGTGCTCACAGGAGTTTGAGAGCAAACAGACAAGTTTTGAGGATTCTTCACTAACACAGAGCGAAACCATGCACTAAATAGTCACGAAAGCAAACACACGACGGGGAAAACTAACTCTTACTGGGATGTCGTGTTTATCAGTTTGATCTGACCACTTTTGTCAGGTGAAATCAGAGTCAGGAACTGCGTCGTCCGTAACCCCAGAGGGGCGTGCTTTAGAAAGCAGGACGATTCTGATTGTTGAACTTTTGAAGGCTTTGCCAAAATATGATATGAATTGCAGTTACATGAAGTGAAAGGATTAGCTGAAAGAGGCCCTGGCAGAGTGACTGCAGTAAATAAATCTATTGGTAAGAGATGACAAAAAGCCAGAGTAGAAACAAATGTTTTCTTCATTAAGTAGACCAGACCTTATCTGTTCTGTCTTGGCCATGCCACATTTTCTTGGTTTAAATACTGTACTGCTGGTTTTTAAGGGCCGTTTGTTTTTTCTGTCAGCTGGATAAAATGTGTTGTGATCTGTTTGACAATGAGCTACATCCGCTGGGTTGCCTCCAGCTCATCATCCAGGCTTTAATCTGGACTAAAGCGGACTTGTCCTCCTCAAAGCAACATATTAAAAAAAAACACATGTAGATTTTGAGGAAATTTGTTACCCTTTCATGGTTTATAATAGCACTAAAAGATATGGGATTCTGCTGTATGCAGCTTTTTTTTCTTCTAACATTTCTCAGTATGGTCTAATTGCAGCAAGCAGTGACCAGGAACATATGGCACGTTTTTACGATCTTACAGGTATGTTACTGATTAACATTCCATACACTGGTTACAAACAGCAAACAAGAAACGAAAAAGAGGCACATTGTGAGCAAATACACAACCTGTAACCAGTATAATGACAGCACACTGTACAGTACAGTGACCCAGTTGTGGCAGCTTTTTGAATGGTGATTGTAGGTTATTTTGTGGGCTACACTCTGCTTTGCTCAGGGTGGTGACTGGAGAACAAACCTTCTTTCTCACGTGTTTGCCCAGCCATAAATCTTGACAAAGGCTAGGCCCTCGTCTCCACTCACACTGTCTATCCAAATGCTCCTGCATCCCTGCCTGTGTTGGCCAAGTGCACTGCTGTTTCACACTAAAGGAGATTACAGATGTCTCCATATTTTTAACCACCTCTGCCTACTGCCTTGCTAAAAAAAGATACACCATTAGTGGTAATGTTTTAGAAATAATGAGAGAAATGTTAAACATCTTTAAATATTGTAGTTAATTCACTTATTCTGTGCTTTTTGAAGAAAACTCAACCCCAAGACTTAACGGTAGTTAAAATAGAGTTGGACACATCTGACGCAGTGTCAACAAAAGACTCAACACTCACAACGGTTAAGTAACTTTAAGTGTTAAAGAGAATGCTCTCGCTGCCCCAGTGTACACATGTGGACACAATGCATGTTCCTACAGCTGTACGTTTCCAGGCAACAAACAGCAGTATCAAAGGGCCAGTGTTGACCAAGTGCCAAAGCCAAACCTGCCACTAGGCACATAGATAGAAGAGAGCCAAATCTAGATGATGGAGGTCATAATTTAGCCACTCTGTTCACCTCTGTACATCTGGGTCTGTGTACATCGCATACAATGATAATGTCTCAGTGGAGAAGGGAGTAGTTATGTGCAGGTGAGACAGTGCTGTTACATATCATTGCCAAGTCCGCCCTCCATAATTAGCTTTAGCAAATTAGCAATCTATCATATCACCTTATACTGGTATCACATTCACATTTATAATTAATTTAGAATGAACAATAAACCTAATTCTGCATTGTTTTTGCATAGCCTTGTGATCTAAAGCGACTGTAGTTGTCCTTCCTTTCCCG